CTTCCTAACTCCAAAGCCTGAATTCAACTCCTTTCAATAATCCTTTTTTTAAAAGAGTCCACACATAAGTGAGATCACACATTATTTTTCTCTTTGTGTCGGGCTTATTTCATGTAGCATAATGTCCTCCAGGACTAAATAAGGCAAATGTGGCAGATGGCAGGGTCGCCTCCTTTTGTAAGGCTAATATTCCATTGTATCTATGTACACCATGGACTCCTTACCCACTTGTCCACTGACGGAAACCCAGGATGTTTCCAGAATCCTTTAATAAAGCTATCACAGAAGCCTCCGCTGTCTTTCCTTTTAACTTAGCAAACTTCATTTGATTGAGTCACAACCACATACATGTCACAAGTCAGTAAGAAAGGTGGAATGTTTCTGATGCAGTTATGAGCATCTCTGTTGCTAATAATGCAGCCAAAGACAGATGAAACAGGTAAGAAAGATGAAATCATTGATGAGACCCTTTGCTTCAGCCAGAAAATGAACATAGCTAAAGCATCTACTCTGTACCCTTATTGTATGTGGGAGTTTAAAAACAAAACCTTAATATCAAAATAAAAGATGAGGTTAGCAAATATTAAAAGAGGATTTAAAAAATAATTAGTATTTTGTGTATAGGATAACAATTAAAAGCCAACTCCTTGACTTCATTATACTGAGAGTACAGTAACATTTGATTGATTTGGGAGATACGAGCTGTAGACGCCTGGGAACTGTTTGTTACAGAGAGGAGAGAAGGTTAGGCTGAGCGGAGATGCCAGCTCTCACTCACCATTTCTGACAGCCTCCCAAGAACCTTCTCCGAACACTGTCCTTGGCAAGTTCCTTTCTCGCTAGTGTTATGGGCTTGTGTTGCTCATTTGTAGGAACATCCAGCTGGGAGAGCTGGGGAGGCAGGGTGAGAGGTGGCTCCAAGAGAGCCCTGGCCAAACCATGTATGGTCAGGGGAGTAGCCAAATCCTCAGCCTGTCCCTTGAGAAAGACAGGCTGCTGCATCTGGCCTGGGTCACCCACCCTCTTTGCCTTCATTTTCTGTCCGTCTTACTTTTCATGCTGCTCCCTTGGCTACGTCTCCATTTCAGCAAAGAAGCCACAGCTGGCCTGACAGCTTGGGGGCTTCTGCAGCCTGCAGCTCTTTGGAGACAATGGGTTACACACGTCTGAGGCTGGCCGCTCTGTCCCCAGCTGACAGCGTCCACATTAACCACGTCTCCAACCAGGATGGAGCCAACATGTTACCAGCATCAACATGTAGGGTGCCTGGAGGAGGATGTGGGGGCCCGTCCTGAGTTTGAGGCAGGGCTCCAGCTGCCATCGGGACAACACACTCACTGGTCAGTGATCTGCCGGGTGGAAGTTCAACCTCACCCATCTCTGCTCCCACGTTTTGAGACCCCCAGAGCTGGAGGGAGCGGTGGACACAGGCTGCTCTGTGTCTTACGATTTCTCTGTTAGGAGTTTGCTTCTTTAGGACAGTGAATGAGTTGCCAACAAAACAACAGAATGAAACCAATAATTTGGTCATTTAAATGAAAACCACTTTGAAAGGAGCAAGCAGGGGTGTCAGGAGAGAGTGACTGCTTTAGATGACTCTGGGAGGTGGCGTTTAAGCTGGACATGGAAGATGGGAAGAGGGCGGGCCTGTGAGGGGTTGAGGGGAGGGAGTCCCCGGCAGAGGGGACAGCAAACGCACAGCCCTGCACGCTGGGGGTGCTCCCAGAGCTGGAAGGAGGGGGTAGCTGGAAGAATACAGACCAGGGAGTGACCCAGAAGAGGCTAAGGACAGAGTGAGTTCGGGCCTTTTTGCCGCAGCAGGGCAGGGCGTGGTAAGGTTTTCATTCTTAGAGCAACAGGAAGCCTTTCAAGGGTTTTGAGCGGGAGAGAGGCGTGATCTAATGCTGGTGACACAGATCACCTTGGCATCTCTGAGGAGCGTGGATGGCAGGGGAAGACAGTGGAAGCCGGCACTGGCCACAGAGTCCAAGCGAGCAATGAGGTGGAGACGGGGAGCAGTGAATGGGCGTGTGGCTTACTGTGGGGTGGAGGCGGTGGCACTTGATGGCAAAAGCAGGGGCCAGGGGAGGGGAGAGAAGGTGAGTGAAAGAGCAGAGTAAAGCCAGCTCCTGGGTCTGGGCTTGACTAACAGAGGAGATGGAGACCCACTTGCTCAGGCAGGTCACACGGCTCCGGGTGTGGGATCCAGGGCTGTGTCTGCCCCTGAGTAGCCTGTGAGCTGTCCGAGTGGAGGCGCCAAGGAGGCGATTGATAAAGGTGGTCTGGGGCTGACGGTGTCCATTGGAAGTGGTTGGCCTGTGGAGGGTTTTAAAGCCACTGGTGTACATGAGCAGGTAGGCAGAGCAGGGGGCCGGGACAGAGGCCAGGGGTTCATGGACATTTAGGGTCCTGAAAGGGGGTGGAGTAGCGTTAATTGTATCAACTGCTGCTGAGAGGAAGCCTAGGAAGAAATCAGAGAAACCATCTGGTTCCCAGTATGGAGGTTGCAGGTGACCATGACAAGAGCAGTTTAGTGCCACAGTGGCAGCCAGATTGCCTTTCATCAGGTGGGTTTTCCACCCTGGCTGCACACTTGAATCACCTGGGGGCTTATGAAAACTCCTGATGCCTGCGCCCCCCAGACTGATTTAATTGATCAGAGGGGGCAGGACATCCCAGGGGTGGTGATGAGCAGCCAGGGGCAACAGCTTCTGCTCTAGTCAGTTCCTAGACTGTGTGATCAGTCACCTGTAACGTGCCCGGCACCAGGATGCTACACTGAACAAGACTAATGCGCCCCTGCCTCACGGGCTTCCCTTTCCTGAGATTCCACAGTGACAGCCCAAACCAAATCTGCTGGTGCCTGAAAGTCACGGAGACGACACGATTCAGAGAGACCTGTGTTTAAGTCAGATCTGCCCTGCTGGAAGCTGTGTGGTCTTAGGCAAGTGAAATAACTTCTTCCAGTCTCAGTCTCTTTATCTATAAAATGGGGATGATATAGTTTACAATGACTGGACTGTTAAAATCAGCACAACTGGTACAAATTATGGTTCTGACTTTGCTTGGTGGGCATACCTGGACGAGAGAACTGCACCAAAGAACTCCAGTTCATGGCCCCAGCACCCTCTGGCCAGGCTGTCTGTGGGTGGGCAGGGCTAGTGAGGTCCTTTGACTCTGTTTGCTGTGCCTCCATGACCGCTGACTCGCCCTCTGACGGACACATTAGGTTTTTAGGAGACTTGCTGACATCTTTAGTCAAGTGGTGCCTCTGCCCAGGTGCCTGGATCAGTCATGGTTCTCTGGTCACAAGCATCAAAACTGGACTCTCTTTGATTCTGTAGAAAGGGGAACTTATTGGTGGCATGTAGTGGTGCTCACAGAACGGATAAAGGGTCAGGGAACCAGGCTTTGGGAAGACAGAGGGAGGTTGCTCCCAAGGCTTCAGCAGCAGGAACTTCTGGACAGTTCCCTGGGTGTGTCCTTCCAGGGAAAGTGAGCTCCAAAACATCTCAGCCTTTTTGCCCCTCTGATCAGGACTCCATCCCCAGGAAGAGGATCTGGCTGGTGTGGCTTGGTTCATGTGCCCAAGGAGGACATGTCAACCCCATGAGGGTCCCTTCAAGAAGCAGTTCTACGAAACACATTTGCCACTGTTAGCTAAAAAATAGGCAGTGGATGAAGTGAGTGAGCACTCCTTCTTTGGAGGTATTAGACCTGAAGAATCACATCCTTAGAAACCACAGAAGGAACGCGTTTCGTGGGTGAAAGGTAGGGGCCTCCAATGCTGAGATTCTCTAATCATTTGTATTTTGCCATCATTTAAACTTCTATAAGCCCAATCACGCAGATGGTTTTCTAGGCAACAACTAGTCAGTTTAAAAAGCTGGACCATTCTAGATGATAAGTGGCTGTCTTAGTCCGTTCAGGATGCTATAACAGAATTCCACAGACTGAGTGGCTTATAAACAACAGGAACTTATTTCTCACAATTCTGGAGGCTGGGAAGTCCAAGATCAAGGTGGGCAGATTCACTGTCCGGTGAGAGCCTGCTTTCTTGTTTATAGACAGCTGTCGTCTCCCCGTGTCCTCACATGGTGGAAAAGGGGAGGGATCTCTCTGGGGCCTCTTTCACAAGGGCACTAATCCCTTTCACGAGGGCTCTGCCCTCACGACCTAATCCCTCCCAGAGGCCCCGCCATCACATTGGGGGTTAGGATTTCAGTATATGAACTTTGTGCATACACAAACATTGTCTGTTAGTGGCTTTGTTCTGATTTTTAGAAATTTTTGTCAAAAATGTCAGTAACGAAGTAATGATGAAGTAAAATTTTAGAACAAACAGAAGGATCCTGGTCATTGTCCTGTCTATGAAGGTCACGTATGAGAGGCATCACTGCTGCCCTCCAAACATTCTAGTTCACCTTGTTTTTAATACGAAGCCAATTAGCCATATGACTTGCTTTGGCCAGTGAAATGTGAGTAGATGTCATAGGTCACTTCCAGCTGGTTTTAAGGGCCAGTGTGTGATTTGTCACCCTCTCTTTCCTTCTGCCATAAAATCCAGCAATGCTCCGATGGTGCTGCTCCATCAGGCAGGCCTGACTGAGGATGACATGGAAGAGCTTCCAGATAACCAGAAACGAACATGTAGTGTGGACAAGAAATTTATCTTTCTTACGTGAAGCCCCTGAGATTTGGGAGTTGTTTGTCGTTGCAGCATAAGCTTGGCTATGCTGACTGATACACCAGCATTCATCCCCTGGCACCACCGGGGCTCATTGTTGGGTCCAGAAGATGAACCTTGGCTGGGGTCTATGGCTAGCTAGCTGTATACATATATATATTACTGGTGACTGCAAATGGGCAGACAAATCATTAAATATTGAGATTCTACATGTAACACAAAATGATTGCATGTGTTAAAGGATTTTGCATTGAGGCCAATCTGAGTGTTTGTAAAAGCATGGTCCTGTATTACCCTTCTGTAATATAATTCACAAAATTCCAAACATTCCCCAAAGCCTCTTCATCTAGTCAACCTGAACAGGGTTTCCTTTATCAGATGGAGTCCCTGTCCTTGTGTTAGAAATGACCCTGTGTCAATCAGGGTCTCTGCAGGAGTCAAGCGATGTACTTAATTTACTGCATTTGAGAAGGGCTTATTAAAGGGACTACTTATAAAGGTCCCCCTTGGGTGACACGCAGCACCCCAGGGTTAGATCAGTAGCTTGCCATTACCACCCCTAGGCCTGAAGTGCCAAATGGAAGGAGGGGCTGCCAGGGCACACAGAGAGGGGGCCACCTTACGGGAGCTGTCCCCTTTGGTTGTGCATGTCAGATGTAGTCCTCAGGTGCACGGCATGGCCAGGTGGAGAGGGGTAGATGGGGAGCTGGGGGGCAGACAAAAGATGACTACCACATCTGGAACTATCGCAGCAGCAGCTGTCTTCACAACAGTTAGGTTGTCAGATTTCCTGCTTGTTTTGGTTCAAGGAAAGGGACGCGTTTAAAAGCCATCTTTAGCTTTGCTCATGACTTTCTGGGTCCAGTAGTGAACTCTGTTCTGGATCTAGGCACTTGGGTGAGAGAATAAGGCCATAAAGAAGGGCTCCCTCTTAATCTCCTCCCCAAGCTCTTGTGGTGTTGGAAAAAATGATCACCAAGAGGACCCCATCTTATTTGAACTAGTAATACAAACCCAGAACACATCCATAAATCCACATTCTTTAATGAAACCATCCTTTGTAGACAGAGACTATGTTAGCTGCTCTCCATGGTCTCTTTGAAACTGACATCATTTCACGAAATGTAAAATTACACAAAATAAAAAATACCCATATATTTATAGATAACACTTTAAATAGTGTTTCTTTTTTTTAAAAGAAACCTTTTAGGCATTTGGGATTACTGTTCAGAAGTTCAGTTTACAACTGTAAAAACACCTGCTGAAGCCAAGAGAACATTTATTCACAAACTGAACACTATCAACATCAAGAATCATTTGAGAGTTATCAAATGGACCTGATCAATGGAAAATCCCAATGGGAATCTACTAGTTAGCAAGATTTTACAAATTATTTAAACAGGCAGAACAATTGGTGAGTAATATGAAACTTTAGAGGGAAATAGTGAAATAGAAGTAGAGGGAAACTTTACCTTAGAGGAAAATAAAGCGAATAGTGAATTAATGAACAGCCTCACTTTCTCTGTTTGCAGAAATTCTACTGGCTACAGTTAATTCCAGATTTTATCCTGCCCTGTGATCCAGCTTCTAACTTCTGCTAGGCCAGATTACACTAGAATTGGACCAGGCCGGACCCCAAATTCTTCGTCAGATGGTTTGTCCTAAGACAGTTCCCTGAACTGAAGCTAGTCTTGCAGCTCTGTGTCATCCTCAAGGCCTGGCACCTAATTAAAGGACAAAGCAGGCCGGATGGACCACCATCCTCTACCTCTGTCATCTGCCTGGAAGACATGTGTACGCAGGTCACTCAGCAATTGGAAGTGCCAAGGCAGGAGCCTGGGTCTTTCTCTTGTGAAGCCAGCCTTGAGGTTCTTTGTAGAACCTGCGTCATGCACAGATCCCCAGAAGGGTGGGCTTCCAGAGGAAGCCCAGCCAGCCCCAGCTGAATCAGAGCTTGTCTTTTCTGGGAATACGTCACTCGCAGGAGGCCTAAATAAGGGTTTTCATAAGGGTTGCATTGTTGCAAATTGGCCGTATGGTGACAACTGTTGAAGCTGTGTCTTTTTGAAAAACGTTCACACTAAAGTGATAAAAAGAAGTGTCATTGTTTCAGGAGGGCAGCCAATGCTGAGGCAGAACCCACTGTGTTTCTGATTCCCTCCCCCTTTTCTATGGAATTGGTTACTCTTATTTAGACTTTTAGAGGTTGAAACTCCAGAATTTTCATCTCCTTGGACAATGACCCTTAACAGCCACCTTATGTATCCTGATTCCAGTTTCAGCTTTGACAGACAAGATGAGACAAAATGAAAACCTCAGAAAATACAAAAATCAGAGAGAAGGAATCTGCCAGAAGAGGCAGGTGAGATCTGAACCATGAGATAGACTGCTCCATTTGCTGTGTCAACGCTCACCCTGGGCAGGGTCTGACCACGACGTGAGAGTGGGGGCTGGGCCTCGATCCAGGGCCAAGACAGGCCAGGGCAGAGCTTGGGGGAGCAGAGGCGTAGAAGGGGACCCTGGTCCTGGGCGCCACATAGTAAAGCTATGACCAGCAGGGCTGGCGTTTGTCACGCTGCATTGATTAAGGCTTTGACAGCTGATCCTTTACATACGTACATATATACAGACATATATTATTATTAATTATAATACTTTAATTTTGTTCTGTTTTAAGGAAAAATATTTCCATGCATTTTTTTTGACCTTTCTTTGTATTATTCTAGTTTTTGCTCCCAACAATCATTTTAATTAGATAAAGTCCTCTGGTGGCATATTCTGATCTTTGAAAAATATAGCTTTTAACTTTTTACAAATACTTTGTCGAAAATGATGTTGATTTATCCCAAAGGAATTCCGGTGCTTGGGAGCTATCTTGGCTCTGACCAAAAACACTCACGTGCTGCCCTGTGTTCAACACCAACCAAACAGGACTTACAGTTATGTAAACATTATTTTAAAATTATTCCAACATAAATACTCTTTTAAAGCTAACATACCACAGCTTTTAGCTCATAATGCCCATAGATGCCTTAATGAAATGCCATTCAAAACTACCTCGCTGTTTAAATTATACCTTGAGGTGCTAAAATTATGTAAACATCATCTACACTTCTCTAGAACAAGTGCCAAGTGTTGTGAATTCCGATTGCAAGTTGGCGATTGAATACTAGTTAATCTGAGCAAAGTTACCAATGCACCCTTTAACCCAGTTGGTTACAGGAAGCTAGTCACAGATTGACTTGTCCCACAAAGTGATGATTCTTACATAACTTATAATTAACCAATCTTCAACAGTGTTCACCCCACAAGGGACCTTAACTGGTCCTTCGTGAGATGTCTTTGCACATCTGGCAAATGCAGTTTCAATTGGTTGTCAAGGAGTTCACCACAGCAAATGGCTCCAAAGCTGGAGGAAGAAATGTTCTTGGAAGCCTGTGGAATCCCAAGCGCAGATAAAGTCAGTGAGCAAAGAAATATCCAGATAAGCCAGGTTGTTTTCTTCTCAGCAAATGGGACTCCTACCAGCAAACGTTCTGCTGAATTCATAGTGGATGTCTTTGCCCCCTGATGCAATTAGGGATGGGGAACCCCAAAGGGGCAAGCAGAGCCAATGATGCAGAGAAATGGCTTTGAGGTCTCCTGATTTCATGACAATGATCACATACTCAAAGCTCCCTCTGTGCACACTGCTTACTGCGATGCCTTTTTTAGTCCGGACATCTCTCAGGTTTCTAGCTTGACATGTGCCTGGCAGAGAGAAAGCAAAAGACTCTGGCCAAAGCTCCGAGTCACAAATCAACCACGGCCAAGCTTTCATCCTCAAAGACCAACACAGACAGAAGACAGCCTGAGTTCCCAGGACATGGCCACAGTGCCGGGTACCCATGGAAGCCTGTCCAGATTAGAGGAATGACCAACCCCAGGACTGGCCTTCTGCCCCACAGGAGCAAGGGACAAGGAGAACGTGTATGAACAACATAGCTTGAACAGTCAGTGACTTCAAACCTTAATCTTCTTGAAAAGTCTACGACTGATAGCATTATAGCCAGAATCAAAAGAACATTCTCTCCTCCTTGTTGGCCAAACTTTTATGTACTTTCAACCAAATATATACCTCCGAGACTGGCTTTTGAGTTTTTGTTTGAGAAAAATACTGTACACTGACTTAGGGCAGTTTTGCAAGGTGCTATTGGTATAAAAAACATTCTCAGTTCCTGTCTTTCAAGAACATTAGCATTATTTCTTCATGTGCAGAGCGTCCTGGAACTTGGTGCTGGTGTATCGGGCGTGAAAGCCTTTCTTGCTGATGGTATCATCTGTGTGGAATCGAATCATTAGGGAATCCCCTGCAGAGTAGATTTCTTCCAATGGCTGAGGAAAGGAGAAAGGAAAACCAGAAGGACTTTAGCTGTGCTTGGAGTTTAAAATGAGGAGGATGGGACAGGACCTCACACAAGGACATAGCATGGCTGGTGTTGCCATGAGGTGTTCCGGGCCCCAGAGACTCTGAAGGGCATCAAGCCAGTTCCTTTTCAAAGGAAAGCACTGCAAATTTTGCTCTAGAGAACTTTCTGGGCCCCGCTTTTCCAAAACTGATCCTAGATGTATAGCTCATACAGAATCTATTATTTATTAAGTGCACACACAGGAGGGCCAGGCACTGCGCTAAAGACTTCCGGATCTTATCTCGTGTAAACTTTGCAGCAACCTTATAATGAAGGTACCATCTCCATTTTACACTTGAGGACACTGAGACTCAAGTTCATGCATGTAGGCAGGACCCGAGCTCAGGTCCTTTTGACTAGAAAGTATGTACCATGAATCACCCAGCTCTAGGGTCTTCATTGTGACGTGTCTCCTGGGAGACCCAAAACACAGACCGTTGTTCAGGCCTATGTCCTGTCCAAGGACAAAAAGTGGGATAGAGCTACTACATTTGCCTGCAAGGTTTTGCAGCAAAACTAGGCTTCCCCACAGTTCACTGTTCAGAACTCTCCAAGGGGTTCCTCCCCACAGATCCCACAGTTTGAAAGACTTTATCAAAAGCAGTCCATTGGTTAAGTCATAATTTGTCATTCTTGCTTTTTTAAAGGATGAGGGAAGATGAAGGGAAATTATTCAAAGACATATAAATATCAGTTCTAGTTTCCATTTAGCACAAGGAGAACAGATGATCCCAAGATCTGGCCCATAGCAAAGAAGTTTGGGTGATCAGCCCTGGAGGCAAAGGAAAGGAGAGGGCAGGGCCCAGCGTGCGCAGCCAGGGAGTGACCAGGACACTCTACTGGCTGGTTCACGTACTTCCAATGAGCACCAACTACATGCCAGGCCCCATGTCAGGTGCTGGAGAAACAGTGAACAAAGCAGGGTTGTCCTGTCCTCGGGGAGTGGCCCAGGGAAGAGGCCACAATGAGAAAAGCAATGCTGACCTTGAGCATAACTATTGCATCTATGGTGAGAGAGTAATTCATAATTTTTATAGGCCTTGGTTTTGCTTGGGGAGAGAATAGTGAATATAGGGGATATACGAAAGTATAATTAATAATTTTAAAGCCAAATAAAAGTGGCTTTAAAGTGGGGAAAACTCTTTGCAAAAATGGGGGAAAGTCCTAAAAGGAAAAGTGCTGTCCCGTAGCTGACGTCAGCCCGAGGCCCCCACGGACTGGTCCCCGGCTGCCTCCTCCACAGCTCTCCCCTTCCCCATCCATCCAGCACAACCGGCCTCCTGGCTGCTGTCACAGTGGCAGGGGCAGCTGGGACTCAACCCCAGGTGTGCCTGACCCCACAGCTCGTGCTCGGAATCGGCGCGCTCTGGGCCCCCTCTGCCCCTCAGCATCTCTGGGACTCACCCCAGAGCCGCAGAAGCGGCCGAGCCTGGGCGCCGAGCTGTCGTAGCCGTCGTAGGCTTCCATGTAGTCATAGCCACATTCGGCCTCCTCCTCCACCTCAAAGGTCCGGAAGATCAGCTCCACTCCGTAGCCGTCCTCTGCCACGATCACCCAGTCGCAGCGGGCCTGGCTCGGGTAGTTGTTGTCCCCAAACTGGGCATGGGAATAGAGCTCTTTGGTCTGCACTTCAGCCTTCAGCCTGCCCCCGCACTCTGGAGCAGAGAGAGAAGCCGGATGCTCCCTCGGCACAGCACCCACGGCCACCCCACCTGCACCCCAGCAGCTCTCTCTGCAGAGCCTGGTGCGTGCCCTGCATGAGAACCCGGGCAATCTCTTCACCCCATTCTACAGAGCAGTAAACAGAGGCGCCTGGCTCTGAGGTCAGGGATCCCTGGCAGCGGGGGTGAGGGGGTTGGAGGGGTGGGGCAGGGCTCCAAAGTGGCTATTACAAGCCAAGGTGCCCTGTTTCCAGCTTGGGCCACATAAGGCCTCTGAAAATCCCTGAGCATGCTACTGATAAGAGCTGCCTGTTTTTTTTCTTTTTTCCAGTTATGGAGACATGGAGCCAATGGGTGGTTTGCCTGACTGGTCACTGGGAAGTGGCCGGGTCTTTACCCCTTCTCTCCTGGAGGTGCCAGCGGCATCTGAGAAGAGTTCACACCTGCCTGACGGACTTACTGTAATTTACAATTTCTGCCAGCAGAGGGCGATGGAAGCACATTAGAACGGCAGGTCCGCGCTCAACCCTGGAAACCTTAGGTCTGCCTGACCGGCTCTTGCATTGGAGAGTATTGACTACAGGCCGCCTCTGAGGCTTCAGTGGGTGTCTCAGGTGAGCACTCATCAGACAGCAGGCTCATGTTCTGTAGCCTTTGCTTCTGGGCTTTTTACTAAGACAGTAGCCCGGGCCCTATACTATCTCACGTTTTGGCCACTTGAGTTCACACTAAGTAAAATAGATCAATGAGACTGGTCTCGAAAGCCCCAGAAATTCTGGAGGCAAATTCCTGCACAGCCTGTCCCCAGTGTGCTGCCGGCCCCCGAGGGCCTAGGGCTCACCCTCGTGTGGGTTCTGTGCCGTGTGGTCCTAACACTCCAGGCCCTGCCTGGCCCCAGACCTGCCCGGCTGCCCACTCTGATGCCATGTTTGCTCCAGCTTAGAATTTCTTCCAGATCTGGCCTGTCTTTGGGAAATTTCAAATTCCTGAGATGCAGGTGGCAATGAAATAGCACCTGGAGCACCTATGTTCCTGGTCTCTGCAGGGACAAGGGGACGAAATCACTTGTCAATGGCTTTTAAGCTTCTCTGAGAAAGCTAGGACTCCACATGGAGCTTGGGAGGGTCCCATAAACACGAAGCGTTTTCTGCTCAGCAAGGGCAAGCAAAGCTGCCTAAGGATGCTGGTCGCCATTTTGTTTGACCTAATGCACATGTTCCGGCTTGGAAAAAAATTGGGGGAAGGGGATGCTAAAAGGATCCAGGGTCCCATGATCATGATCTCAGACTCGCAGAAGTAGAGTGGGCCTCGGCAGCCACCAGCCCTGCCAAAGAGCCACAATCTAATGCCAGGATCAAAGGGTCAAATTTGGTTCCATGGGCTCCAGTCCCAGGTGGTCACATTTTAATGGCTACAGAGCAGAGCCAATTTTCTTACTGACATTCCTCTGTTTAACAAAGTAGATAATATAAGTTGAAAGAATATACATTTTCCTCTGAAGGACCCAATAGAGCTATTTGCATTTTGCGTGGAGGAAAAAATAATAAGGAGCAGAAACATTTTCATTTTCCATAACTGGCTCTTAGAGGGATAAAAGGGCTGCTCTCCACCACTCAGCTCCCAGACTTCTGGGTTTTATAGACTAACACGGAATATGTTTTTAAAAGGAAGAACGAGAAGGAGGGAGGAAAGAAATGGGGCACCAACAAAGGGTTGCCCACTTCAAATTTTGTCATTTGAGGACATCAAAAGAAAAGAGCCCTTTCTCCTTGTGGTTGCTGATGTTTCATTTTAACAGGGATGTTTTATCACGCACCTTCCTCCCCTCCCCCTCCCCCTCAAGTAGAATAAAAGGCAGCCCCTTCCCTGCCTTCACCACCTGTCTCCTGTCCAGGTGCTCACCAGCGGGAGGCCAGAGCCCGGCCCCAGGTACCTGTGCTGTGCACCGCCTGGAAACCTTTCCTCTGCACAGAGGCGTCTGAATAAAACTTGAGAAACAGGCTGCTGCCCGAAGCCACCATGGGGTCTGGTTTCTTGCTGCCGCAGAAACGGCCCAGGATGGGGGCCAGGCTGTTGGGCCCGTCGTACATTTCCAGGTGGTCATAGGCACATTCCTGGTGCTGCTCGATCTCGAACTCATTAAAGGCCTGGGGGGTAGAAGAGCAGAAAGTAAGGTGAGGCGGGGCCTCCTCTCAGGGGCTGGAGAGGAAGGGGGTGAGGCAGTGCAGGGGGCGTGTGGCCATGATGATGCTTGGCGACATCGGGTCTCCAAAACAACCCCGTGCGGTGGTCACATGAGCTACAGCTGCTGTGACCACTTTGCAGATGAGACGGTGGGAGTTCAGAGAGTTTAAATGCTTGTTGACATTTTGACAGCTATTACTCGGCAGAGCTAGGCTTTGACAGCCCAAATCTGTCTTCCTCCCGTCCTATCGCGCTGCCTCTCCCTCACTTAGTACTAAGAGCCAGCAACAGCCGAGGGCTCACTCTGCGCCGGCAACTATTTTAAGTGCCTTACAAGTATTGCCTCATTTAAACCTCGCACCCCTGCGATGTGTCTAACCCTCACTTCATAGCTGAGGAAACTGAGGCACGGAGATGTCCGATGACTTGCCCAAGGTCACACACTGGTAGAACTGGGCTGTGACCCAGCTGCTCTGGCCTCAGAGACCCTGCTCTAAGCCTGAGCGCTCCACCAAAGGACCCTTCATCACAAACGGCGTAGATGCGGCTTTGTGCTCTGCGTCGCATGCTCATGGTGGCTGACATCGGTAAAGTGTTTTTTCCACGCCAAGCATTTATGGGTATTTTCTCACTTAATTCTGGTGACACTGTGAGAGAAGATTATTTCCAATGTGCAGAAGAGGAAAGTCAGTCTTAGAGACAGACGTTGGTTGACTTGCCCAAGCTCACGCAGCTAGAGACGGTGACGCTGAACTTGACCCCAGCCAGCCTTCTCCTGCCCACACTGCTAACCATCGCTAGGTTATGCTCCCTGTCCCCCCCAGGACTCTCCCCAGCTTCAGGGAACGGCTTTTCAGCCCTGAATGTAGCCTTCTCAGGTGCTGCGTAGGTGACTGACTGATGCAGCCCATGGCGGCAAGGGAGATGGGACAAGGTGAGGGGGACGGTGTTAGATGAAGACTTGGACCGAGTGACAGAGCAGAGAGAGGGGACATTAGTTGGGGGGGGTCTCGATTCAAAAGAGGGAGGTTGGGGCTGCAGGGCAGAGATGGAGGTGGGAGAAGAAACAGAGGGACCAGGGCAGGGCAGGCTTTCACGGAGATACCCAACACCCCGCAGTGGGCAAAGCTCTCACGCCTGTGAGGAAGGAGCTCTGGGGCCAGAGTGGTGGGCAGAGACACTGGGCAGGAGCACGAAGGGGACAGCAAGCACCGGGGTGGGCCATGCGATGGGACAGCCCTGCTGCTGTCTCCATGCACTGAAACACCAGCTTTCTTGAGTATGTAACTCACGTTCTATGGGAGTCAAAAGACAGAGCACAATCAATATACCCACCGTCCACTTCCCAAAGAAACGTCTTTTAGAAACTAACACGTCTGGGTATGAACCTTCCCCTTGTGCGGGTTGTGCGCTCCCGCCCCCCAGGGCGCCACTCCCTCCCGGTCCTCGGGGACTTACGTTGCCATTGCGAGCACAGTCCAGCAGGTGGCAGTCTTGGAAAGGAGTGCCTTTCCTGAATGCACTAACTCACCTGCACCCAGGTTCAAGGCTGTTCCCGCTGACCCGGGACAGCGGCTCCTAGCAGAGCTACAATTCCCCCAGGGGCAGCCCATGCATATGAGGTGCCCGCTGCGGTCAGGGGCCCTGTGTTCCCCACCCCTCGATGCCCAGGAGCCCACGCACCTGCCTCTGCTCCTGACTCGTGGTGGTTCTCACCAACAAACACCCCGCGAGTCCCCGCCCCATCCTCTATGCATCATCGCATTCTCCTTCTTTGTTCTCTTCCATCCTCCCTGAATTATTGGTCCATAATCCACAGAGCCAATCCTACTCATGCGGTCAGGACGACCCATTTTAAAAAATGTTTGTCTGTCTGGAGTACAACAAATGCTCCAGCCGGCGAGAGGGTTTGTTTTATTCTCCTGGACCTGGGGGTCCCTAGGGGCTGAGAAATGAGACGTATCCAAGAGACTCTTTTCTCCTTTGAAATAACGGAGCGTGGTGTACAGACCACACATCACATACCCGACTTTACATAAAGGCTTGGAAAATTTTTTTTTAATTCAAGAGAGAATTAACATAAAGAACTTAGTCTCCTATTGCTAATAGAAAAAAATACAAGTTGTAAAAGAATATGAATAATAAGATTCCATTAGAGTAGTTTGAGTAAGAAAAAGATATATATTTTCTCCGTGCGTATATATTCATGATTGCATGTACATAGAAAATTTCTGGAAGGATTCACAACAAAATGTTCAAAGTGGTCCTTTCTAGAGAGGGAGTGAGTGATCTGGGGACTTTTGATTTCCACTGTCCAACTTTCTATAGCGGTTACATTTGTTTTAATCTTGAGAATGAATTGTCTTCTAAAAAATTAAAACTGGAAACAACTGAATCTCAAACGGTGCTGCAGATCTGTGTGGTGGATGCCCTCTCGTCCTGGTCCCACTGTGAACAGGGGTCATTTGTAGAGCTTTTGTGCATTCACTCTTTTAATCTGCACAACGGCCCACGGGGTGGGCTTCATTAGCAAAATGGGCTTCCTCGTTTTCTGCTAATGAAATCCAGATCTGGAAATGTCGAGAAACTTCCTTCAGGTTTCAGAGCTAGGAATTGACAGAGCAGAAACTCGAACCCATGTCTGCCTGATGCCAAAGTCCATGTTCTTAATAAACTACAAAAATGACTCACGAGTTTCACCCTGTGGCCCGCGGTGGAAGAGATGTTCCAGGTACACTCCCTCCGGCTGGGGTATTTGTCAGGCCAGTTGGGGCTCTCCAGGGTCCCCTCTGCACTGCTGATCTTGTGTGCACAGCCAGCTGGGGGTGATGGGAGACACAGAGAGAGAGAGAAAAGTATTAATAATTCACTTGTGGGCAGCACCCTAGGCATGATAGGGGCATCTCCTCCCCCTCTCTTAACTGTCTCAGGGTCATTGCCAAATGTGGGGGCAGGGTCAGCCTGAAACAAGTGTCCCCCAGCACAGAGATGTTCACGGAGGTTTACCTGAACTGGATTTTCTGCCTTGCTGGCTGTCATCTTTCTTACTATTATTACTATTCACATCGTGGTCATCACTGCAAATATGGTAAAGTTGGTACTAGGTGAAGAGCACAGGCCCTGGGGTCGGATGGACCTCAGTTCAAGTCCTCGTTCCACTACCTACAATCTGTGTGACTTCGGGCACTCATGTAAGCTTTGGTGTCCTTATCTGTAAAAGGGCGCCCCCCTCCTCAGGGCCATGTGTGGATTAAATGAGATGGTGCATGGGAAGGGCTTAGTGAGTGCCAGGCCATGGCAAGTGCTCAGTCCATGCTGGCTGACAGAGGTCTCCTTCATCACTGTGCCTTCTGTCTACACACTTCCTCTAGGTTTTCAAAACAGTTCCATCTGGCGTCTGCCAAGCTTGTCCTGGTTGCAGTGCTATTAGCCAGGAGTGGCCCCATGACTTGCTCAGTGCCCAGCGTCTTGGCCAACGGTTGGCATCTATCTTCCTCTGTGTTGGGTGCTGTGGTCGGTATTTTCCATGTATCCTCTTGTTTAGTCCTTCCCACTTTCCAAATAAGAAAATGGGTTTCGAAAGGGTAAGTGCCTTGCTGGTAAGGGGTGGAGCCAGGACTCTCAATGCAAGGGACCTGCCTGGCTTTGAGGCCGGCGCTGTAACTGATTAGGAAGCATGCTGAACTCTGTAATAACCAGCGCTTGGACGAATCTCCTAACTCCGAACTGTTTATCCCAGAGAGGGGGTGTCTTCCACATCTTCCCCTACCCTTGACTTCCTTTGCAGGGCTCCCTGGCTGGGGCCAAGGCCTGGAGCCCTGTGTGTTTATCACAGATGCTTGGCCTTCCCTGGGCAGGGTAAGAACAGAGGGAAGGTTTTACCAAAATGGCCATTAAAAGCCAATTGGCCCTGAAGAACTAGTAGTGAACGGAGAAGAGAGCAAAGTTTCCCCCAAATTTATTTTACTATGAGACCTGCATATAGTAAACAATATGGAGGTTGGCTGGTCTGTATTGACATTTCAGCACATAATATGTGTCCAACTGTCTGAAATACTTTCTAGGCATTCTTTTAATTCCCACAAAAACTTGCAGAAGGAGGTATAGCCTCTTTTTAACAGAAGAGGAAACTGAGACTCAGAGAGGTTAAGAAACTTGACCAAGGTCACACAGCTCATGATCATGAATGGCAGAAGCAGGATTTAGACCTAGGCAGTCTGATCCCAGAGCCTGTAGGCTAAACCACTTTGCAACAATAGCTCAACCTGGAACCCCCGAGGCCCCCCACATGCCTCTGAAAGGAGTGGGCTACTTGGGAAAGTGCTGTTCAGCAGAAGGGCCAGAGGGAGTCCCCAGAGGAGGAGAGCAGGTGCTGAGCTTCCCTGCTCAGGGTTCCTAGCTCAGCAGCCAGTGGCAGAGCTCCCCACCCGACCTACCCTGACGCACGCGTGCACGAGCACATGCACACGTGGGTGTGGGGCCAGGGCAGCCCCGCAAGGGTGCAGCCTCACCCTCTTTACAGTCGTGCCCGTTGTCGTGGAGCCGGTAGCCGTTCCTGCAGCGGCACAGGTAGCTCCCGAACGTGTTGATGCACTCGTGCTGACACCCACCGTTGTCCTCGACACACTCATCCTTGTCTAGAGAGATCAACAGACTGTCCTAAGAGGAAGCACCAACTCGAGCATGTCCCTCACAGCTCAGAACCCCGCTCAGAAGTGGCCACCTCCAGGGAGCCTCCCTGATTGTCACTCTGCCCTGATTACCCCTTGCTGGGGGTTGGGGGAGTCTTCACCTCGGCTTTGTTGGGTATCGCTTGGCCCTGGTATGTGTTGACTGCTCCATGCTCCTAAAGCACTCTAATGGATGTATGTTCTCTGCCCTGCTCCCTGCCCAAACAAGGAGCTCCCTGAAGGATCGGCTAATGTTACTAACAACAGTAACAATGATAAAAATAACTGCCACTTACTGAGTATATACTATGGAATGGGCACTGCCCCAAGTGCTTTTTATACATTATCCAAGTTAGTTTTCACCCAACCTTAGGAAGGAGGTGCCTTTATGCCCACTTTACAGGTAAGGAAACTGAGGCTGAGAATGGCTAATGCTCCCCCAGTGAGCAAGAGGCCTATGGGGCCGACCCGGAGGCCTGGGCTCATGCCCTGCGACTCTACACCACCTCCTGGGCGTGGGGTAGGTAATTGCGTGGGCCACGGGCCAGACCAAGAGGACTAGTCCTATGCTACCACTGTCAGCTGATGTGCCTCAGTTGCCTCCCCTGTAAGACGGGGACAGTGTGGTATCCTTACCTCATAGCGTTGTTGGGAGGAGTAAATGAATCAGTGCAGGGAAAGCGCTCAGAACGGCACCCAACGCGTAGTAAGTGTCAGCTTTTGTAATTATCATGATGCATGAACTCAAGCGTTGGCTCCTGTCATCCCGGTCCTGTGGCTCTGGCTGGCACGGTGTGCAGCCCTCTCCTCAGCCAGCTGTTCCCGCAATAACCAAGGATAGACCTCCCCCTGCCTCCCCCCCACCGAACGACCTCAGGGGCCAGTCCTGTCTCCCTCCCCTCCCTACACCCTCTTGCCCACCATGGTTAATGCCTCCTTGAACACTGTATTTTAGCCTCATCCGTTTATTTCGGGAGGACAATTAAGAGCACTTCCAGAACCCTTAGAGAAAACAGAGGCGGGGACGCTGCCTGCTGCGCTGCACAGAAGTGCTTCTCCCTGGCCTTCCTCCCCAGTCCCTCTGCAGAAGGCCGCAGATCCTGCCCTGCCCGCACCCTCTCCTCTGCCCTTCTGTGCCCGGTGCAAACGTGGAGCCGGCCCCTGCCTCCAGCCCTCGCGCCCCCTCCTCTGAGGAGGCTCCCGCCCTGCCCTGCTCCCCTGGCCCTCCCGGCTCCGCACGCCTGGCCTGGCTTTGTCAGATGAACTTTTAGGCCTCCCCGGCTCAGGAACCTGCAAACGGTCCCACTTCCTGTCCCATCAGGTTCCGACTCTTCAGCCCCACATTCAGGGCCCTTCAGAACTAGAAGTGACGCGGCCCATCTCGCACCCTGGGCTTCCCAGCGCAGGTCTTGGCTCCACGCAGGCTGTTCTCATCTCTTTCTGTGCTCAGTAGAGACCCCAACCCCGTGGTCACACTGCCTCCCCTTCTTGGGACCTCGACGGCCTTATCTCTAGTCATCCTGTCTCCCCCTCCACACCTTCCCATCCCTTAAGACCTGGCTCAGACCACCATGCAGCCTGTGAAAGGTTTTACCCACTGCTCCAGGCAACCGTGGCTTCCCTCTTGTCCAAACGTTGGCCCCTGTTGCACTGGCCTACCCCGCAGTGCCCCAGGCGGGGACTTAGCAGGGTGTGTCCCTGCTCCCTAGCTGGGTGTAAGCTCATCCAGTTAGGGGCACTTCCCCCGGCAGCCTCTACTAACTGGAACTGTGCTATCCCACAGCAGGCACTCAAAACGAAACAAAACAAAGCACAACTTTTTCAATGAGAGACTGCAAAAAAATCACAGAGACAGAACTCTGGGTATCTACAAAATAAAATAAAATAAAAAAGTGGGTTGTTTCTATGCTAAGCACTGAGAATAAAAAGGTAACCAAATTACAGTTCCTGCTCTTAGACAGTTCACACTCTAATGCGACATGACAGACAGGACCCGCCACATAATTTGCAGGGCCCATGTAAGATGAACATGGGGTCACTTGTTAAAAAATTATGGAATTTAAGACAACAACAGAGCCGAGCCTTAAACCAAGCATAGGCCCTTCTGGGGGCAGTCCCTGTGCTACGACACAGGCCACACGCTCACGGAGCTGGCTTGGTGATGAGAGCCCTGACAGAGGGGAGGTAGACAGGGCTGCGGGACTCTGATGAAAGAACAGTTACTGTGCTAAGAGGGTGCTGTGGTTTGAATGTGTCCCCAAAGTTCATGTGTCGGAAACTTAATCCCCTATGCAACGGTGTTGAGAGGCGGGGCCTTTAGGAGGTGTCTGGGTCATTATCTCTGGAGGGGGGGTCCTTGCAAAGGATGAGTCTGGCCCCCTCCCTTTCTCTGTCGCCCGTGTGATGCCTCCCACCTTGTTGTGACACGGCACGAAGGCCCTCACCACATGTGGCCCCTCCATCATGGACTTCCCAGCTTCCGGACCCGTGAGCCAAATACATTTCTGTTCATTGTCCGTGACCCAGTCACAGACTGGCCCTCTGTTGTAGCAGCACACGGCAGACTAAGATAGAGGGCGAGAGGAAACCAGGGAAAGCTGCAGAAAGTGGCATCTGGGGCCTTCCAGTCCAAGTAGGCGCTTTCTAAGTGGGGAAGATGAAGGACGTTCCAGGGAGAGGGAGCGCCGCCGCAGTGCGTGTGAAGAGAGAACGAGGTGGGGGTGCGGGAGTGCAGGGCGATGGCACAGGAGGCAGTGGGGAGTCGCGGGTGACCTGAGCACAGGCACCTGCAGAGGAAATGTGCCCGGCAGGACAGCGGGGAGGCAGCGTCCAGCATCAGACGCCAGCCCAGGAGAAAGGGCTTCTTCCTTCTGCTGCTGCGCTGGCCCTGACAGCTCAAGGCCCCCAGTTTGAGAACCAGGGCCCGTGTGTGGCTGTGCAAGGTCGAACAGTGTCTGCCCCAAACTCATGTTCGCCTGGAACCTCAGAATGTGATCTTATTTGGAAATAAGGTCTTTGCAAAAGTATAAAAGATCTTGAGATGGAATCATCCTGGATTTAGAATCAGCCCTAATTCCAACGTCTGGAATCCTAATAAGAGGACAGGACGCAGAGAGGCTCCAGGACGAAGGGCGTGTGGAGATGGAGGCAGAGACGGGAGCGGCGCAGCTACAAGCCAAGAAACGCCAGGATTGCCGGAAGAGGCAAGGGAGCACGGCCCTGCCCACACCTGGATTTCAGACTTTTGGCCCCCAGAACTGCTAGAGAATTAAGATTCTGCTGTTTAAGCCAACCAGTTTGTGGTCATTTGCTATGGCGCCTAGGAAACGAACACAGCTACTAATAAAACCCCCCTGGATGTAGGCATGTCCCTCCAAGGCAGCCACGCTGGGAGGGGAGCGGGCAGACAGAGCGAAGGGGAGCCCACACTGCATGGGCTTCACCTCCGAAGCCACGTACCTGAGAAGAAGTGGGCCCTGAAGCCGCGTTTGGAGACGGTGTTGTCCGACTTGAACTCCACACGCATGTTGTTGCTCTGAGAGGTGATGACCTCGGGCGTCTCGGAGCCACAGAACCTGCCGTGCAGGCTGGCGTCGGGGGACAGGCCGCTGCGCACCTCCACGAAGTCGTATTTACAGACCTGCAAGGGGGCGCGGTGGAGAGCGGCCCGGGGCCCCCATCCCTACCCCAGATCCCCCAGCACACTGCTGCACCCCTTCCTGAGAGCTGCACCCTTTCCTGCAAACTGCACCCCTTCCTGCAAGCTGTACCCCTTCCTGCAAGCTGTACCCCTTCCTGCAAGTTGCACCCTGCCAGGTGGCAGGTGCCCTGACTCTTACTCCTCTGCTAGTTAGACTGCACTTCAGAGAGCGACAGAGGGGCCCTGACCTTCCAAGCTGGGCTCCAAAACCTGCATTCCCGTAACTCTGTAGCCTGACTTTTATTTATTTTATATATTGGGCTTACATGAACTTTTGCGTGAACAAAGGGCCCCACTGCTAGAATAAGAAGAAAAACAAGGCGAAGAGGAGCAGGGAGGAGAAAGGGGAGGAGGCAAGGAGGAAAAGTTTGCAAGCCACTGGTATAATCCAGCTCCATCATATGTTCATGCAGAGAAACAAGCTCAGAAGGGGCGAGTCATCTGTCTGAAGTTACACAGCTCAGCAGTGGTGGAGCCAGGACTAGAATCCACGCTCCCTGCTATAGCAATGATTTTTCTCAAAAAGACCTTAACTGCTAGGTGGTCTGATCAATTACTTTGAAGGTTTGTTTTTTCTGTGTAATATTCATTTTGGGGTGAGCCCCTCATTGGCACTGGGGCTTCTGGGCATTGGGGTCATTGGCACTGGGATCTCTTTTTCAGTACCCAAGAGGTCAGACTGGTCAGCTCAGAGCCAGGCCGGAGCTCAGCGGGGACAGGAGGGGTGGGGAGAAGGACCTGTGTGTCCCAGGGGTCCTGCCAGCCCAGGGTGCAGGTGGAGGCATGCGTGACTAACACTCCGGCTGCAGGGCGCTGCCTGGGCCTCGCCTGACTGGGTCAGCCATGACCACTGCCCGAGAGAGGGAACAGGCCGTCTGTAGCATCCCTGTCCCTAGCTGGTCCTCACCCCTCCATTCCCATCAGCAGGACACCAACCCTGGATTTGCACCCCAGGGCACATACCAGTCCTGTCCACCTCCCACCCCAACACCTGCCTCCTCAACTCTCGTCCTGATTCTCCGTGGATTTATCAGTGACAAGAGGGCCGCAGGTGCTCTAGCTGCAGAGGACATGCAGCTGAAACAATTAGACAAAACGCTCCCGCAGAGTCTTCCCAGCCAAGGTCCTGCGACTCTCGGAAGCGCCAGTTCCAGCACAAGCCATCTCCCTGCCTGCTGAGCCCCTCACCACTTTCCAGCTCTCAGTCACATCTCCACACAGTCCCCAGTCAATTAGAGCACAGAAACATACGTCATTGCCTTCCAGTTCAAACACTTCAAACTGGAGGGAGATCTGGTACTGAACGGGGGCCACCACCTGCCAGACACAGTTTTTGTTCGTGGGATACTCCTTTGGCCACCCAGGGCTGGTGATGGTTCCATTCAGCTTGGTAATGAAACCGCCACAGGCCACTGCACGGGAGGAACAGAAACAAAACGCATTTGGTTTTAGTTCCAAGTGGCTGCAATTTCCCACAAGCAGCAATGAGCCCTGCTGTTCTGTAATAGCAACAACAAAAAACGTTAGACAATCTGTGTCCTTTATTCTAGTCCAATAGCTTCAACTGAAGATTTGGAGGGATGACACTGGAGATCAGTCTTTACTGATGTTTAAAATAACGTCGATGCCTTTGTGCTTTCCTGCCACCCAGTGGCATGGCTGTGACTTGGACCAGAGGAGAAGTAGAAGTGTTTGTAGAAAGCTATGCGCTGTCCCTGGCTTGCGGGGACAAGCAGATTCATGCAGGTGGGCAAGGAAAACAAGGCAGGTAGAAATGCAATGAACAAAGTGTGCTATCAGTTGAGTCACACCAAAGTGCTCACAGTTTTCCTTGCTTTTATTTTCTACCTTGATAATCATGTAAATTTTACACCATCACAGAAGATAAATCACGACCCTGATTGCAGTTTCTAGGGCAGAGTCCATGCAATTTTGGCAGTTTGCTCATATTTATGACAGTTATCAAGCTGTTTCTCCCTCTGGGAGGTGGGTGGATCTTTCACCACTTCTGCTCCTTGTCCCTTTCCAGCCAGCCGCTGCCCCCTCTCTGCCCCACGTCCCCGTCCCCTCTCACTCTAGCAAGGCGGGTCCCACACTAACCTTCGCACGTCTTCTTATCGGTAGCCAGCTCGTAGCCTGGGTCACAGGTGCACTTGTAGCTGCCCAGCGTGTTCACACAGCGATGCTCACAGCCGCCGTGGTCTGGCCAGGAACACTCATCCACCTCTGTGGGGGAGGTGACCATGGTCGAATTGTCACAAAGCTGCCTGGTCTGTTCCCAAGGCCTCCACATCCCGGGGTCCCCAGCTAGTGTGCTCTAAGAACAAGAGTGACTCCTGGTGGCCACTTCCCAAGGAGCCCCATGTCTACAGCTGAAAAACTGGCAGCAGCTACAGAGAAGGGCAGGACCCTAACAGCCCAAGGCAGGAGACCTTGTTAGCCAGAGCAGGGCTGCTCCTGTGGGCCTCAGGCCCGGGGAATTGAATTCTTTGAGCTGTTCAGCCGGTAGTTTTCATCTGAGGTCTTGAAAAATCTCACAAGGTTCCATACCAAAGACTTCATCCATTTCAATGCCATGGAATTGGGGATTTTTTCTCCCATAAATAGGCAACTTCTCAGGGACATTAAAGAAAGGGTAAAGACAAAAGGACACATTGCTAGATAAAGATGTGTAAGTATTCTTTACATATTAGAGCCAGAATCTGTAATTTAGCATGTTTATAAATACCCTTAAGAGGTGTGCACAGGGAGCTCTTTAAGGTTACAGAAAACACTGGGCCCTGCGGTCAGCCTATGCTCCTGGGAGAAACTGCAGGAGAGCCCAGGACAAGGCTGAGTTAGCGGGGCGGGGTGGGGGGGCACTCCATGAGATTTGGTGCCTACAAGTGTCTAGTGATGCATTTGGAGCAATCAAATAATGGCACATAGGATGCCATGGGTGCTGTCCAGAGGAAAAGCATGGGCATCACTGGAGACTCTCCCAGGACACATCAGCCCACACGCCACTGAAGGAAAGGAAAACCCTAGCGTTGGGCATCTCTAAGAGTACTAGAAATAAAAGGGAAAATATCATTGTCTGTTGCCAAGCCACGGTATACCTGTCCCTGACAGAGAGCGTGCAGGGTGTGGCCTAGCAGACCTAAAGGGGTCTAGAGAAAGGACAGCTAGACACTGACACATCTGTTTTCCAAAAGTCCAATCTAGGAAGAAGAAAGGATGGGACGGGGGTGAGAAGGGCAGCGCTGGCCCATAGCCCCACGGGAGGTAGGAATAGAGCAAGTATGGACAGTTCACCAAAGCCCGAAAGAACACAGCACACACAGGAGAGATAGGGACATCTAGGGCTTGGTCAGGACCTGCACAGAGACCCAGTCTTGCCGCCCCAGGCAGGGATGATTTTTATCACGTTCCTGAGAGATGGCTTTTCAGACCCTGCTCGAAAACTCCCAGAGACAGGACTCTTGCTACTTTTCAAAGGTATTTCTTGGGTCAAAAGTCTGAATCCTTACAACTTCCAACCCATTGGCCCTACAGAAAATGCAAACCCTCCAATTTTCACGTCTCCCTCTACTCTGCCCATTTCCGACTCAGATCCACCCGTTTCCTTCCCCAATCCTCGTCTGCGATGCACAAATTCCTCATCAACCTGCTTGCTCTTCACTGGGGAAAGGATGGACTGTAAATACCTCGTCATTTCACACAGTGGACAGCAAACTTAGGGAACTCTAGGAGGGACGTATTCTTGGGCTCGACAAAGGTTTAAATAAATGAATTGGTCATCAGGGGTAATTGGGTTCGGTAGAGAAGCTCTAGGCAGGGAGATGAAGTTGTCCATGGCCTTCAATCGATGTAAGTATTAAGTATGCAAAAACCCTAACAATGGTGCAATTATTTGTTCATCGCCTTACAATATGCAAAGCGTTTTCTTAGCCATTTGCTAGAAAGTATAGAAGGAAGAAAATTGATCGTAAAGAGTAGTGGGAAGAGTCCAGGCTTTAGAGTGAGTTAGACCTGGGTTGGCTCCACCAGTGAATCTTCCCCCAACCAATTGGGTGACCTCCGGGGAGCTGTCCTCTCTGAGCCTCCCTTCTGTTTTAAAATGAGAACAATACTTGCTTTTAGGTTGTGGTGATTGAAAACGAGACACGTGAATTGCCCAACACATAGCCTATCTATACACAGGAGCTATCACGACAGACAACAATGGAGTTGCTTTTGAAATGCCAGGGGGCAGAGAGACACGGTGATGGGGGTGATGAGAAGGATGAGGTTGGCCGGGCAGGGATGGAGTAGTGCAGGCCTGAGTAGGGGCGGGAGACGAGGCAAGAACAGAAAGAAAGAAATGCCTCAAGGCCGGGCCAGCAAAGGAAGACTGGGTAGGCAGGAGGGCAGCACGGCAGATTCAAGGCCCTGGGGGTTGTCCCAGGGAGAAGCCAGGAGGAAACTGAGGGATGAGCCCATCCGGGGAGATGAAGACAGGCAAAGGACCAAGGCAGGGGGCATCAGAGGCTCCCCCTTCCTCCTGCCTTGGGGGCAAGAAGGAGAGGCCCCCAGAGGAGCCATCTTGGTGCCATCTTAGTGAGGTGGAGGGAGAGGGGCCAGTGGAATGAACTCAGGCTCAGAGCAAGCGGAATATAATTCCTCCAAGGACTAGAAGTGTTTGTTTGACCCAGGAAGGTGGGCGAAAGTTATACTTTTACACCTGAGCTCTCTCCAGCAAGAGCCGTGGGATGTTTGGCCATTTACAACCCTGCCCCAGCGTGGATGGATGGCGTGGACGTGCGCCAGCTCTGCCCATGTTTCCTCCATGCTGCGGTACGGCAGCCTCTGCTCCAAGCCCAGTGGCTGGTGCTTGCTCTGGGCCTCAGGGGCCAAGCCAAGCCTCCCAGAAAAATCTGGGAGCACGTGGGTGTAGGAGAAGAGGCTGGAACCAGGGCTCAGCCTAGCACAGTGGGAGACCTGGCTTCTCATCCTCCGGGTGGTAGTGGTGAAAGAAGGAACCATTCTGTGGTTAGGTAAAGAGATGGCTCAGGCAGGATCCCAAAAATTGTTTCAGAGAGAACAAATGAAAGGGAAGGCAGGCACATTCCTAGGCTTGTGAAGAAATACCTTGAAGGAAGCCAGTCCCCCAGCACATGCTCCACAGTGGCCCATCATCTCTGGGACGGTGGGATGGGATGTCGCGGCCAAGGTGGGAATCCTTACACGCTTTATGTGGAGGCTGTGGGACCAAAATGGCCCCACCAGCCCTTGAATGTTGCTGGCGTCTCTCAAAGCAGCTAGAAATGTAAGGTGCTCTGCTTGCTGCCGGCCAGCAGCCTCCAAGAGGAGCTGCCATCTGGCACCAGGACAGGGTGCAGGGGCCAACGGGCGCCCTGGCCAGCACCAGGCGCCAGCTGGGCCCTGTGCAGAGCCTCCTGCCAATTGGCATCAAGGCAAGAGCTTCTTTGGCTTGTTCCAACTCTTCTGCAGGGCCTCCGTAGCTTCTCCTCCAGCTTCTTTCACTGGGGAAGTCCTGACACACGCGCTGGGCACTGTGTTCGCAGGACATCCTACCGATGGCCTTGCCAGAATAAGGCTGGGCTACGGAAGCTGACCGTGCCCGGTCTCCAGACTGGCACTGTCTGACGCGGCAGCCCCAGCACATGTGGCTACTGAGCACGTGAGATGTGCCCTGAGCATAAAACACAGGATTTCCAACACTTAGTATGAAAAATGTCATTAATATTGTTATGTATTGATTACATATTAGATGATATTGTTTTGCACATGTTAAGTTAAATAAAATATATCATTAAAATTAATTTTACCTGTTTCTTTTCTTTTGTAAGGTGGCTGCTAGAAAATTTAAGATTGCACACACAGCTCTCATTTGTGCCTCGATTCCTACGTCTGTTGGACGGCGCTGTCTGAGACCGTGGTCTCTCACCTCACTCCTTCAGGAGAGCCTTGCAAGGTAGGCAGAGCAGGTAGTAGGACGCCCAGTCCACCAGTGGGGAAACTGAGCCCCATTCATCCATCCACCCATCCATTCATTCATTGCTCAATAAGTATTAATATTCGCTGAGCCCACCGTGTGCAGGCACTGGGAGTACAGTGGAGAACAAAGCAGGTGCGACCTGGTCTCAGGAAGGAAAGCTGACCTGTCAGAGAGCGGGTCGCTAGTGAGGAGTGCAGGACTGGCCCCCAGGACTTCCGATGCCAAATCCAGGGCCCTTATTCCTACACACCTGTGCCGTCAAGAAGGCAGGAGGGTGCCTAGTGTCAGGATCAAATCACAGACACTCAGGAAAAATTCCAACCCCTTCACTTTCCTTTCCTGTGGCTTTTGGGTCTCCTTAGTGGAAAGAGGGTGGACTGTGGAATCCTACAGATCCAGTTCTAGTCCTAGCTCTGCCACTTCAGGACTTCAGTTTCCTCTGTTTTAAAATGGGGACAAGAATAATGCCCACCCAGGCATTGTTCTGGCAAGTGAGAAGACCAATGCAGTCTCTGGCACATGGCCAGCACCCCGTAGATGTCTTTCCCCAGCATAGGACTAGATGGGGATTCTGTTAGTCCTGTTCCTCCTTCAAGATTCAGGGTCAAGTTCAATGTTACATATTTTTCCTTTGCTAAACACGCTTCTCTGCAGTCCTCCTTGACATAACGATGTCAGGCTAGGTCTGTGCATTCAGTTGGTATAGGTGGGCCTCAGTTAACTCCTTCCCAGGCATCTAAAAAGATGTCTGCAAATTGAAATACCCTCAAAGGAGGACACTGAGTAGCCTGGGAGTCTCACGGCCTCCACTGAGGCCCACACTCCCGTTCAGCGATGTCATCACCCATTTGTTTCTGTTCTTTCACCACCGCGAGCCCTTGAGGACAACCACGGCGTGCTTTCCTCAGTATCCCCAGCCCCGGCACAGCACTGACACATGATGTGGTGAATGCTGGCTGCGTGTTACACGTGGAGGAGGGAGAAAGTGGCACCTTCTAACCAGCAAATGGAGCCTGCGACCATGGTTACTTAGAGCAGGAAAGGGCCACCACTCCGTCCCTTATAAGCCATCGCCCTAACTGACACCTCCAGCTGGGCTGCCGTAAAAATTCAGGAGGTCCAGTTAAATTTGACTTTCAGATAAACAACTGCTAAGCACAGTATGCAATATTTGGGAAACATAGTAAAATAACCGTTCTTTATCTGAAATTCCAATTTAACTGGGCATCCAGGTTTTTTATTTCCTGAATCTGGCAACCCTCATCTTCTGCCTCAGCCAATCCTCTTAAAAAGGTGCATTGCTGATTACCTGTAGAACCAGGAATGAGGTGTGGGTGGGTCAGTGGGAACTGGCTGCCGGTTATCTCACTGCAAGGGACCCAAGCACCTAACTTACAGACCCAGGGGTGGAAGTCAGGGGAGGAGTAGGTCAGTAGTAGGAGAATTAGAATTATAGATTGAGAATAAAAACCTCATCATCATACATGACACATGGCAGGCAGAATAAGGGCCCCAGAGCTGTCTACATCACAGGCTTGCAACTTGTGAGTCTGTTACCTGACATGGCAAAAAAGACTCCGCAGGTGTGATTAAGTTCAGGATCTTGAGACGGGAGAGTCCTGGATTATCTGGGTGGCCCAGTCTCGACAGGAAGGTGATATAAGGAAAGAGGTAGGCGGAGAGTCAGGGTCAAAAGAGGAGATGTGACCACAGGAGTATGGGTCTGTGATCAGCCTAAGAAAGACACAATCGGCCATCGCCGGCTTGGAGCATGGAGGGACCACGAGCCAAGGAATACAGGAAGCTTCTAAAAGCTGGAGAAGGCGAGGAAATGGATTGTCCCCTAGAGCCTGAAGAAAGAATGCAGCCCTGCCACCACCTTGACGTTAGCCCAGCAAGACCCACTTCAGGGGTCTCAACTCCTGAACCGTAAGATGATAAATTCGCGTTGTTTTAAGCCACCGACTTTATGGTAATTGGTTTCTGCAGCAATGGGAAACTAAATCATCGCAATAGTAAGGAGAAATCGTCATATCATTTTTTCCAGACAGAATAATCACTTCAAGGATTCCTTCCCTAGCAAATGCAATTAATGGGGCTAAACAGTATACCAGAGTATTCACTTATACTATTTCACTTTCTCCTGACCACAACCTTGCAATAACCTGGTAGCAACATTTCTACAGGTGGAGACTGGAGCTCAGAGAAGTTGTGCAACTTGCTCAAAGCCACCCTGCCAGTGTCACTGCTGCCAGGTCAGGCAGGGACCTCCCCAGGCTGGGAGACAACAGGCACATGCAGACTGGCCCAGGGTGGGGTAGGGGCTATGGATTTCCAGGCATCTCAACTAGGGCTGCCATATCCTTCTTCCCTGTGCAACGACAAGATGACCTGTATTTAAAAAGCACTTGCCATGGCCTGGCTTTTTTTGCTTGGGAAAGACGCAACTTAGTTTTGTCTCCAATTATTCAGAGTGTTATGATTCCCGCTCTGTTACTGCTTGGGTTCTGCTCTCCCCCAGATGCCTCCAGACAGGAAAGGATAAGTCCCAGGTCTTGTTGGGCACTTGTCAGCCTATAAGGTACCTCCATAGCTGTCCTTTCATGGGGCTAGGTGACATGGGCAGATTTCCTGCTCCCTGTCTGGCAGGGAGGAAAACTGAGGCTTCAGTAAGGATGAATGGCTGCCTGCTCTGGATGACACGGCTTGAAGTGGGTTCTTCTGACACCCACTCGGTTCGTGTAGAATCTAGAGAAGGCTCTAAGACAGGGGCAGAGGGAGAGTGGGAATAGGGGAGGAACAAAGATTTCCAGGTCTGCTCCTCCAGGAGTCCCAGGGCAGGAGGGAAGGAGGGAAAGCAGCCTCCCCTGGGTAGGGGTGTCTGGGGCCTGGGGAAGTGGGGTCACTAATTAATCAGCTGCAGAGAACTGACATCTCTGTTCAACGGCTGCTGCTGTACTCCTGGGTGCCCAGGCCCAATGCGTGGGGGAGCATCCATGCTTCCCTCTTAGGGTGTGGTCTTTGGGGCCTCCGAGCCCTGAGAGCAGAGATGGAAGACGGAAGCCCGCACTTCTGGGGCCAGGATGGCTAGGTCTACCTATGCCGTTCTGGGTCTGGTTCTGTCAAGACCCAACAGAGCAGCAGGCCCCCAACAAAGCATGGAGGCTTGTTCCCAGAGTGTCACCCACTTCCTCTCTTCCACACCCCATCACTTGGGGGTAGGCATGCAGGCTGGGGATGCTGACGCTTCAGGAGCTGCAGACCTGTGCTGCCTCTCTGACCCGCATCAAGGAATGCAAGGCCACGCTGGAAAAGTTTGAGCTTGAGAATTTGTATTTCTTTTCTTTTCTTTTCTTCTTTTTTTTTTCTTTTTTTGAGACAGAGTCTGGCTCTGTCACCCAGACTGAAGTGCAGTGGCATCATCATAGCTCACTGCAATCTCAAACTACTGAGCTCAAGCGATCCTCCTGCCTCAGCCTCCCAGAGTGCTAGGATTGTAGGCATGAGCCACTGGGTTTGGATCCCTGATCTGCCACTTGACTGTCTTCGTGGTCCTGAGCAGCCCTTCTTAGCTCTGATCAAACGTGATCCAAACCTAACTCAAAGGGTTATTTTGGGAATTAAATGACATCATGCAAGTCAAGTACCTTACCCAGTTCTTGGCACACAGTGGGTGCTCAATTAATGATAGCCACTATAAAAATATTCATTGTTATCAATGCTCAGTTTCACTACAGAATAGTTTGCCCTTGTAAACTTATTAAATCTAATTTCCAAGTACAGAACTTCCTGCCACAGAGAAGCCGAGGCTGAGCCTGCCCCGACCAGGTGGGGACTCTGCTGGGATGCTCCACTCAGCTCTAAATGGGGCCCCTGCCTTTTCCCTGCAGGCAGCCTAGTTCGATGCTAAGCTTCCATATGGGTTTTGTGAGCCTTAAACCCGGGGGAGCAGTATTTCTTCTTGTGTCTAAAAGTGGAAACAAACTGCTAATTCATACCCTTGAAAAAATTGGCTGCAAAGCCTGCTTTATTGATAGAGCCATCAGAAACAAACTTCATCCACAGCCTGTTGGAGCTCGACTTCACATCCTCCGGCTTCTCGTAGCCACAGAAGTGGCCAATCAGGGCGCTCTCTTCCGTGGGGCCATCTCGGATTTCCAGGTAGTCATATGCACAGCTGTCATGCCTTTCGATCTAAAGGGCGAAACAGAGGCAAAGTCAAAGACAACAGATGGCCCAGCTGTAAGGTTTTTGATTTAAGAAGGAAACTCAAATATCACTCTCAAAAGCTATCCAAGAGTCAAAAGGACCCAAGTGTGCCCTGGGTGTCTCCACACCGTCTCCTAGTTGCAGACATCCAGGGTGAATCAAGCTGAGAAGAGACTAAGAGAGGGTAAACAGGGAAGAACAAGTCTACAAAACTTCCTTGGATCCCATCCTAGATTTCCCCTTCAATTATTCCCCTCAATCTCTCCACGGCCTTCAGAAGGGAGGCGAACCCAATTTCAGAGCCTGCGAAGATTTTAGTATCGGATGTCCTAGCACCACTCACCATGGACTTGAAAATGGCCCCTTAGGTTCCTGTTTTTAACCAAGAAATGGAAACCTATTTTTATAGAGTGGAATGTGTCTAGTAAAAGTTGCCATTTACTTCGTCCTTGGTAAGACAATCTGAGCAGCACTCACCTCAAAAGCTTGGAAGGTAAGTCCCACGTGAAACCCCTCCGAAACCGAAATCCTCCAAACGCATTCCTTGGAAGGTCTGTAGTCATCTGGGTAGTTGGGAGATTGAATCTGACCCGCATCTTTGTTAATGTCTCCGCCACATGTAGCTTTAGAAAGACACAGCACAGGAGGAAGAGGGGGTCCCTGGTCAGATCTTAGGAGTTAAAGTGGGGGCACTTGTCACCACTAGGTGGCTCCACTCACCAATATTTTCCTCTCCTTCCAACAAAGACAGCCTCCAGAAAGGCACAACTGCACTGATTTCCAACTCTGAATTTTTTTCATGTAAGAAAATAGCCATGTCCTCCACCTTCTCTGTGCACCAAAATCACCTGGGAGGTTTTCCAAACTGTGGAAGCCAGGGCCACATCCCCAGAGGTCCTGATTTAGGTGGGTCTGGGGGAGCTGGGAACAGCGGTGACGTTCCCCAGGTGATTCTAATGCAGAGGGTAGAGGACTGCTGGTATGCGAGGGTGCACACACACACCCACGTGCACACACACGCACGCGCACACAGCGCACACACATGCACACACTGCACACACACGCATGCACACACATACACATTATTTCTTTTACAAAAACAAAACTTTGGCCTCTCCAAAAATGACATTTTAAGGCCAAAAGGGCCCTTAATAATTTTCTAGTAGTTTCCCTCTTTTGGTGGGGTTAGGGTGGGGTGGGGAGAAGAGAAGCTCAGTACTTGGAACAAATAGAAGCAGCACTGCCTGGTGGCAGCTGCCTAGAGCCCAGACCTGGAGGGTTGGTTCCCTCTACTCCACAACCAGGGTGGCCTCAGAGGCCCTTCTAAGAAATGCGGTTGGAAATTCCCTGGTGTTGTCCAAAGTCTTCTTTTCACAAGTGAAACAAACAGAGGCCCAGAGAGGTCAGATTCTTTGCTTAGGCTCACACAGCAATTCACAGGCTGCAGTCATTTCCACGGGGTTTAATACCCCTACCCCCCCGCCCCCCACCAACACACACACAAATACCCCACTCCTGTGTGGGGGAAGGTGACTCCCCATGGTCTGGAAGGAGGGTCCATGGGGGTGGTGACAGGGAGATGATACCAGTTCTGAAGTAAGCACAGCTGGCCTCTGCTTCCAGGAGGTGGGGGCTGCACGAGCCTCAGCCTGCCTCTGCGGCAGTGACCCCACCCTCACGCGCTGGCAAGCAGGGGTGGCAGCGAGACAGTGGGCTGCAAGGGAAGGACAGGGGCTTCTCAGGAGCCACCCAAGTGGCTTCTCCCATCGTGAACAAACCTTCGTACACCGCGAAGAAGCCCTTGCCCAGGCTGTTGCTGCTGCTGCGGAACTCCACCCAGAGCCGGCTGGCCGTGGAGGTGAGGGGCTCCGGGACTTTGTCGCCACAAAACCTGCCTGGGAAGCGGAAGAGAAACAGTCAGGACGCCTGGGGACAGCAAGAGGGCACTCGCCGCAGCCGGGGAGAGTTCGAGGTGAGCAGTGAGCCTGGCTGTGACAGCTTATCCCGTGGCACACACAGGATGAACAGATGTGACAGAAAGAGTCACACCACCTGCGTGCCTCGCTCAGGCTGACTTTGGGAGAATTCCGGATTCCAGTCAGTCAAAGGACCCAGGATATAGCCAACGCGTCCCCTCCCCCACCAAGTGGGCCTTGTCTCGGCTGGGAAGGTGTGGCAGGACGATGTCTGAGATGGTGGTGAAGCTTTCTTTCCCTGGCATTTCCTGTTGCATGTATGCCCTCCCCTTTGGGGACATTAGACATTCTGCTTTCCTGCCTCAGGAAGGGATGCCAGAGAACACGCGACAAAGAAATCAAATCCTCTTGGCTTTTGGATTTCATAAGCCCAGTCACTGCACCAAAGATCTGGAAGAATGTACAATGAATAAGAGCAATTTTCCCATGCTGGTGGTCTCAGGAGGGGACCTAGGATGGCGGGGTGAGGGGGCTGGGAGAGAAAGGATTGGAGAGAACACCTGGGAGGCCCCAAAAAGACCCATACCCCATCCCACCCTGAGCTGAGATTCTGGATGGAAAAGGACGACAGAGACCCCAAGCAGGTTTAAGGATCTGGGAGAAGCAGAAAACTGTGCTCCAATTCCCTTGGCAGAGCCTGGAGGGCAAATGAGACCCAGATTCCCCTAGAGCCCCTGCCCAGGGCTCAGAATAGCGGTGTCTACATGGTCTACCCCGACATTTATTTGCTCATGGGACGGGCATGCGGAGCTCTTCAGGCAAAGCATGGAAGGATGGCAGCCACGTGGTTCCAGGCTCCTGAGAGGGCTGTGAAAGTGACTTTCCTGTAGCCCAGAGGACTGGGGAGCCACAGAATATCTCCCAAGCTTCTAGGGAGATGTGGGCTTGGTACCACTCTGAACTGGCCTGCAGTTGAGACAAGGAGGAAGCACAGCGGCCACTTCTCCGGACTGAGGACTGACTAGTTGGAGAGGAGGACATCCCAGCAATGCCAGTCAGGATGTGGGCGCCTGCCCTGCCACCATGCCTGGGCATAACTACGCCCGCCACCTGCACCCCCACCCCAGGGGAAGAAAACATGAATTGAAATTAAGTTCCTACTACCAGATGGAAAAGAGGCTCATAATAGAAATTTCGTTATTGAAAAAAAGTTGTATTTCTTAGACACTTTGGGTATGTGGTCTGAAATCTGGACTCTCTACAGAGGAAAATGGGAAGGCATGGCCTTCTCGGGACATGGTAATTCTTGGCCACCCATTTCCTAATGCCACACAAGGGTGGCAGTCCAGGGCAAGGGCAGGGATGGGGCAGGGGGGAGATGGGTGGAGTTTCTTACTGATCAGTTCAGAACGCAGAGCACCCAGGGTCTACGTGGACTGGTAGTCCATGGCTCTGCCAAGCACCTACTGTGTGAGTCACTCACAGAATTTAGCACTGGGGGGAAATGGGGAGTGACTGCTGATGGATATGGGTTTTCTTTGCAGGAGGATGAAACTATTCTAAAATTGATGGCGGTGATGGTTGCACAACTCCTGAGCATGCTAAAAATCATTGAGCAGTACACTTCAAATGGTGAATAGCACGGTATGTAAGTTGTATCTCAATATTTTTTTAAAACTTGAGTGGGTACTCTTATTGCTGGTGCCATATCAGGCACGGGACAAAACACTTGAAGCTGTAATTCTACTTTGCCCTTCTGAGAAATGGGGGAGCAGATGAGGCTGGGGGAGGAATAAAGGCCACCGTGGACATTTCCTAATGGCCAAGTGTGGCATCTGTTCATCGGGGAGAAATGGGAGTGGAAGCTGCTAATCTCCTCTGTTTCCTTCTGATTTGGGCCACCTGTAGCCTTTTGGATTTGGGGAGCTTAATATTAAGTGAGATGAGATAAAACTCCTGCCAAGAATTCTGCAAGGAAAAATGCAGCAGAAGCCTATAAATTTTCGGTAATGGTTCCTCTGGCGTGGCCAATTAGGGTCAATGGGTTTTTGGAAAACAGTGCGCAAGCATCGGGAAGCGAGGAGACGGAGGGCTGAGCAGCAGTTAGACAGCGCCGGTCCACAAAAGGAATTCCTTCTGAGCCTCGCCCAAGGTCCACGTCCAAGTCTCTCCTTTTGAAACCCAGCTGTCACAGCCGCTGAGGACTGTTTCCAAAAGAGAGCGGGATTTTCACTGCCTCGTTGCCTACGGATCTAACCGGCTAAGATGAACCACCCACCACCCAGGGGCCACAGGACAACCCGTCTCTGCTCAGTCCCCGGGGGAGGTAGGAATTGCAGTCAAGGTGTATTTTACTGCCTTGGCAGAGCTAGACTTGGTAGAATAAATCACAAATCATTCCTCAACACTATCCCCAAATCGCTTTGTAATTCTTAACTAGCACCCCCTGTCTCGCGTTCTCATCTTCATCATAATGGTTCTCATAAAAGCCCCTCTTATTAACTGTGTCTATGCCGGACACTGTCCTAAGTACTTTACGTGGACTATCCCATTTCGTCCCTGTTGCTCTCTGAATTAGGTACTATTATTCATCTCATTCCACAGATGAGAAAGCTGAGGGTCAGAGGATCGAAGTCTCAAAGCTGCAAGTGGAAGCAGGATTTGAACACTGGCAGTCTGAGACTTTCATCATCAGTTTCACCTTCTTCATCACCATCACCATCGCCACCAGCACCATCAAAAGGAACTTCTCTGTCTAAGGTGCAATTGTGAACATCGTGCAATTTGGGATAAAGAGACATCGTATCTGTCCTCAGGGAATGTAAACATCATTCCCATTTCCCAGTTTGGAAACAGATACATACAAATAAAGATCAAAGTCTCAAACCGTAAAGCAAGCCTGTGGAAATGCCAGGCTTGGCTGTTGGACTCACTCTATCATTTCTGCTCATTTGGGAGCAAAGCTGCCCCGGGCCAGAGAGCCCCAGAAGTGGGGCCACACGACACTGATTGGCCAGCCTGGCCTTTCTGAACTTCTCTCCCCAGTTTAGGGAAAGGGGGGAAAAGGGGCTTTTGTGTGCACTGTGGTGATACAGAATGCCCAAACACAGTTCTGCATACAAAAGTGCATTGTTAGAGTAATTCCTCTTACAGAAATAAAGGCGGGGGGTCGAATTTACAGGACAGTACTTAAGGTTCCTGGATGAGTTCTCTGTGTAGCCATCTTCCTCCCTGCTTTAGGTACACTCTCATAAGCGACCCCTGAAACTGAAAAACCAATTTGGTATCTTTAACCAGCCATGAAATGTTCTCAGTCTACCTACAGTTCTCTTTAATCACTGCGTGAAAACCTAGGTCTCAAACAGCCTCCTTCCAAGGAGACTAAACAGGCTGGAGAGAAACCAGACTAGAGAAAAGGTGTCGGATTCCTAAACTGAAATCCAGTTCCTGGATTTAGAGGAGGAGTTCAATAAGGATATCAAGAAGAGGAAATGCAGATGAGGACACTACAAGTGGTCTCCATGGGGAGTCATAAAGGGTTCATTCATAAAAAGTTATGTGTCCATTATGCCTGGATTTTCACACACTGCCCTGGGAAAAAATGCAATGCACAGTTTTCAGAGCAAGATGCATACTTTCACAATCCGCCCTAATCCGCTCTCCCTCCTGCCAAAGGGGCATTGACCTGCCTCCTCCCAGCAGATTTCATGGCACTGACCCCTCCCAGGGACCAGCTCAGCGACACAATGCACTTGTTCCAAACACAAAAGTTCACTAACAACTGCATTTGGAAACATCAGAGCAGGCCAAATAGTTGGCAAAGGAGAACTCCTGCAAATGAAGAATGACGGTTACAGGCGCTGGGCCATGGCTTGGCTGCAACACACTGCGTGTACACACACACACACACACATCGCATAAGTGGGTAAAACGTGAGGCAAAAAACACCAAAACAAAACAAAAAACCAAACCATCACCACCAACAATGAACAACAGAAGTCCTATCTCATTAATGAAAGTGCAGCCAGAGACACCAGGATCTGCAGTGAGAAAATTCTTTTTTTCAAGTTCAAGAAAAAAGAACTACTGGAAATCTCTCCGCCTGTGCCCATTCGCAGGAACGTGCCTTGGCCCTCTTTGGGGAACTTCAGTCACAGAGAGCTTCCTCCTCCTGAGCCTTTAAATCTCTCCCATTCCTGGGAGGGTATAGGGTGGCCAGATTTAGCAAACAAAAATCCAGGAAGCCCAGTTAAATTTGAATTTCAGATGAACAACGAATAATGTATTTTATCTGGCACCTCTCGGGGACACCCTGCTCAGATTCAGCAGTCACTGCTCCCTGACACCAAGACAAATGAATTCTGGTCTGATCCACCACCTGGCTGTGGGAGCTCGGTTTTCTCGTGAAGGTGAGGGATTAAGTGACTGTGAGGTCCCAGCCCGGCTGAGGGGTCTGTGATTCCGTGTTCTCATGAAGCTCCTCCCACATAGCTCCTTCTGTTATTTTAATTATAAAATGATACCTGAATGCATCCTTGCAAAAGATTCAAACAACGGAGCAGTATACAAAACAAAACATGAAGCCGCCCACCATCTCCAAGCTTCCTTTCTCAGAGGAACCACCTTCAATAGTTCGGTGAGCGTCCCTGGAGTCCCCTTTCTATGTATTTGGTACTAGACATGGGCACCTGTTTGTACCTCCAGGAATTTAAACTCACGGCCCTCTGGGAGAGGGAACTCATGAGCTTTGCCCAGTGGAAGCTGAACGGGGCCGGGGGGAGTGAACCCCTGGAAGCATAATGTCTGCCAGGCCCCTTGAGTCCAGCCAGACCCTCTGTCCCTTCTCTTCTGACCTATCCTATCCCTGGCTCCTCAGAATCCAGCATAAAGCCAGGGTTCGGTCCAGCCGTGACTCCTCAACTTAGCCCTCTCCTTTCGTTCCTGTCTCAGCCCAGCAAACTGCTAACCACAGCTCACTCCCAGCCAATCATTTGTGGCATAAGAAGTGTGGCTTTTCTGCTCTCAGGAAGATATGCCAGGGACAAAGTCCTCACTGAGTGCTTAGCCTTGCCCAACCCAGGAGCTTGCCCTACAGACCCCTCTAAGAGTGAGGGCAACCCACTGTCAGCGGAGACCCCCGATCTGGCTCCCTGTCAGTCTGCTTCTCTCCCCAGCTCCACCGTGGCTGCCGTTCTTGGGCTGGGCAAGTTCTAGTGTCGGCTCCCAAGACACTGACGCCATCGGTCCTCCACACAACGCTCATCTTCCCCGTCATCCACGAGTGATCCCTCTTCCTGTGACCCATCTGGAGTGAACTGACCTTTCTTTTCACACTACCTGCCTGCCGCGTCTCACTCAAAGGTCAAGCTAAAGTCTCAGGGACGAGTTCATGCCCTGCTCATCTCACAAAAATAATACATGCTCATCATGGAAAAACTAGAAGATATAGCTAAACCAAGAACAACAAAATAAAATTTTAAAAAATACTCATCCTGAAATAGCCAGTGTGTTATTTCTTTACATTTATAATTTTACTTGATATTTATATTATAGATTACAAAATGATTTCTTCCAGTTGAATTCAGATTGCACCTTGTTTTAAGTAATTCTGTTTTGAATGACTTTGGATAGGACATTTGGTGTTAAGCTCACTATTTCCCCACCACTCATTTTATTATACCAATCCCATCTCACTCATTCACACCTTATCCCTAAAGGCATCTAAATTTGTAATGACTATACAATATACATGTATTTTTTAATCAAAATGGGATCCTCCTGCATATTCTATTTTGCAAGATACTTTTTTTCATGTAAAAGTGTGCCACGAATACCTTTCTGTCTCAATCGTCACTTTCAACTTTATTTTTAATGGCTGGGAAGTTTTCCACTGAAAAGATGCATCACGATTTATTCAGCTAACCCCTACCGTTGAACATTTAAATTGCTTTCAATTTCTGCTGCTCCAGTGAACATCCCTGTAGCTAGAGTTTTGCAAACTTCCTTAATTAGTTCCCTAGGATAAATTCCAAGGCGAGGAATTGCTAGGTCAAAGGGTATTTGCAGTTTTAAAAGCTTTTAACATGTGTGGCCAAATGGAGTGCCCAGAGTTTTACAATGACACAGGCCCTTGAGAACTTCCTGTGACTGCTGTCAGATGGACCCTTCCCAACATTAACAGCATCCCAGAGAACATCTGATCACTCCGCTCTTAAGGCTGTCTAAAGTCAACTCACCCAACAGGGGGGCTTTTCTCCAATAACCATCCCGGACCTCCACGTAATCGTACCAGCACAGGCGGCTTTTAAACAAATCCATGGATGTGAAGTTTAAGACGATCTGCAAAGAATTACCATAAAGTGAGTTTTGGCAGCAAAGCCCAAGAAGTTTTGAAAGATACATCTTGCATACCGGCGTTCTCACGTTACCCTTTAGCATACAGGATTCTCAGACCACAGTAGGAGTGTTGTCTCAAATACACGCTCGCAGGAAACCTGATGACATTAAATAATAAACTTTCAGCAGGATGGGGAGTAAACAGAAGGAGAAGGGTCCTTTGGTTCTGTCTGGGGAATCACTTGAGCTTTTGAAGTCACTAGGTGGTTTACACAAAGCAAGATGCATTAAAAAGAGCGGCCAGGGTGCATTGAGACTGGGTGTTTGGAAGGAGGTGAGGGGTCAGTGAAGCGCAGAGATACCAAAAGATCTTATAACATCATCAGTCATTCCAGAGAGGCTGGGGTTAGCTGGGGTGCATCTGAGCAACTCCGTGGTCAATGTCCCCAGCCATGACCCTCACTCTGCTGAGGTGGGGTGTGTCTATCTAATAACCTTCCCTCAAGGAGTCTGTTCTTTCACTAATTTGTTCATTTGTTCACTCCACCAGGGTTTGTTGACCACCTATTGAGTGCCAGTTCTGGCTGGCCAACAGAGCAGGCAGATGCAACAGCACGGTGTACATGCTGAAGGGACAGGGACGGTCAGATAGAGCACCTCGGCAGTCCTGAAGAGAGAGAAATAAATTCTGCCTGCTGATGCTGGAGAAGACTTCTCAGAAGAGGTGACATCTCACCTAAGGGGACTCGGGGATCAGTGGGCAGAGAAGTAGGGCTAGAGTGTTCCCTGAGAGGAACTGACATGAGCAAAGGTCAGGATCTGTTTGGGGAACCATCCATGGGCCCAGCGTAGGGCATTGTGCGTGTGTCTAGAATGACGGGGCAGAAGCGGTGAGAGGCTGGGAGGTGGGAGGTGGGAGGTGGGAGGTGCAGGTGGGGCTGGGAACGAAAGCGAAAGCACCGGCTCCTCTGGACGTCCTGAGGCCAAACTCACACAGGTGAGCACTTAGAGCACAGCGGGCCTCAGCACACAGGTGCAGCACCCGTGGACTGGCCATGGTCCCCCTGCCGCCCTCCAGCTCGGAGTTCCCCTGGCAGATGGCCCAGGGCAGAGTTAAGGTTTCCCCTGGCCCTTCCTCCCCATCCAAGCTCCACCAGGCACAGTGCCCTTGCCTCCTGCTGCCCTGAGGAGCAGGCTGCCTGGCCCGGGCCCTCCACTTTGCTCTTCCACGATTCCTGCCCTGAGGTCCTGCCACGGCCCCTGCACCCCGATACTGTTCCCTTCCAACTTGGAAGACCTTGTGCTTGGGGAGTCCATCTCTCTCCAGCTTCTTCACTCTCTGCTCCTCCGCTGGCCACTTCTTTTACATTCAAACAGCCCCAGGGCCCTCTTATCTCTAAAGAAACCCTTAGGCTGGAGAGGCTGTGGTCAAAGGTGCCCTCCCCTCCACGTCTAAAGGACTGTTATTTGTCCTCATGCTCCCTGGCTTCCCTGCCCAGAGCCTGTCCTTTCTGGTTTTCACACTGGCCTGTCCTCTCCCCAGGTTCTCTCTACCCAGCTGGCTCCTGTCCCCTGTCCCACTAACCCTGAGAGCACCTCCAAAGGAAGCACTTCCCTTCCAGCTTCCCTGACCGTAGGGGACACCATCGCCCCACCACCTGGTGCCAAGCTTGGTATCTTCTCTCCTGTACCCGTGGTTGAGCCCCCACATCTGCCACCATCCATGCTGGTGGCTTTTTCCTTCGATGTCTGCATCCCTCCCCTCCAACCCCAGCTCACTCCACCGTCCTCAACCTTGCCTGGACTTCACTCTGCTGGGCCCATCCATTCTTTACACTGGGGCTTCTAGATCAATCTTCCACTTATAGCTCATGTTTACCAGGTCTGTCTCATGCTCAGGAAACTTCAGGGGTTCCCTGTGTCCCCGTTTCATAAATAAAACTCTCTGCTCACTTTCAGAGCCCCCAGGGCCTGTCCTGTCTGACCTTATTGCCCAGTGCGCCCTCGTATGAAACCCTCCCCAGGCCCGGCTCAAGTGCCCCTCCTCCCCCAGCCCTGTGCTGACTGCACAGATGGACGTGATGTGATCTCCTTGTCTCTTTGGAACGCCCCATCTCTCTTTTACAGTGATTCCAGAGTGGGTAGCTTTAAAATCGGGCAGATCTGGATTTGCTTCTCAGCTCCACCATTTGCTAGCTCTAGAGTCTTGGGGAAACACTTGACGCTTGGACCTCTAGTTTCTTCATCTGTGAAACATTATGCTCACCACTGGGTTGTGGAGGGCACTGCTCGAGAAACTGTGTAGAGTGTATATTTCTATGTCTGGCACATCATAGGTACTGCATGATGGCAACTCTAAACGTCAGTGCACACTGATTGGTGTTGAGTGTCCACCCCTGCCCTTGGGCTGAGCCCACCCAGTGTTCAGGTCTCAAGCAGCATCTGCTTCCACAAAGCCCTGTGATCTCCTAGGACATGAAAAGTCAGTATCAGAAAAGAATGGGCCAGCTCGCCTCCTGTTGAGGGGTGGAGTATGTCTATGGTGTCACTCTTCTTTCAAACTACACTAGTGATTTTCAATCCTACCTTGCACATCATAATCACCTTGGAAGCTTAATTAAAAAGCTGGTACCAAACAAATGCCCCTCCTTCCATTAAATCAGATTCCCTGGGAGTGCGGGGTGGGGGGGTGCAAAGTAAACCCTCATAAAGACGGGGTGTACCTTAGATTTCTTTCATATCCCTCACCATGCTCGAATTCAGGTGATAGAGCTTAGTAATAATTGTAAGCTGGTTGCACAATAATTCTTTAGCCTTTGCTTTTTAAAATTACAAGAAGGAAATGTGAGTACAACTTCCTTGGTAACACATTCATGATCTGAATGAACAGGATAATTATTCAGGCTAATTATTTTAAGTATGTTAGTGAATCATAAAGACCATAGGGGGAGAGGTGATGAACAAGGGATGATACTTGAATCAATCAAGTTTGCTAATTACTAACAGCACTGGGGAAGGCTGGGTAAGGCAGAAATTGAAATAATTGGTGCAGGAATTTCAATGATGTATATTCTCCCTGTCCCTAGTTAGCACTAATAGTTAAGGCTTGCTGAAGCTTACACAGTTCAAACATATCACACAGCCCCTGCTGTGCAGGGCGATTCAACGATTCGGAGATTACCAGACCCCTTCCTCTTCCTCATCCTCCTTTCTGCCTCCCACCTGCTAGTGCCTCCAGCAGGCAAAGGGATGTCACATCCACCAAGGCAGACAAGTCTGGAGTCTCAGACAAGAGATGACAACCAGGTTAATGTTTCAAATGCTTAGAGCCACAAAAGGGGGGTGGGTAGGTGTGTGCACACACATGTGTGTGCGTATGTGTGTGTAAATACGTGTTCTAATGTCTATCTGCTAGCCTGTCCCCTTTGTATAAGATATAAGAAGATGGTCAAGTATGCAGGCTCTCAGAGTCCAGTTGCCCGGGTTCAAATCTCAACTATGCAACAAACGTAGTATCCTTGAGCAAGTCCATTTCCTTCCCTGTAAGTAAGCATGGTAGCAGCACCTATCACGTGAAGTTGACGTGAGGGTTAAATTAGCACATGCACATGATACGCTGAGGATAGTACCCAGTCCATAGAAAATGCTCACAACAGTGCCTAGCCAGCTCTCTCTAGTTAGCATACTATGCTTAACTTGACATTTACATGGACATTTTTTTAAAAGTTATGAATTAGGAATACCTGAAGGTTGGCTACAGGTGCCTGAAAAATTCCAGCATCCCATTACCAGCCCTCGCTGCGGGTTTTTCACTCAACCCTCATCCCTCCACACATGCATTCAACAAATACTTAATGTGACCATTCTGTGCCATAGACTGTGTGGGGGGCTGGGAGTCTGGGGGTGAACAATCTCCATCCCCAAGGAGGTGAGGGATCAGAAGAAGGACAAATAAACCAGCAGCCACAATACTGTGAGACATGCTACAACAGGTATGATTGCTCTGGGGACACAGGAGGTGTCCCCTAGCCTAGTCCCAAGGAGCAGAGAGGACTTCTCAAAGATGGCCGCATCTAGTCAGAGACAACTTGTAGAACACTTAGATTTGTAGAGAGATGTAGCAATAAGACAAGCTCTGCAGTGCAAACCCCCAGTTCCCACTTCTACATCTTACTGTGAATTTGGGCAATTTCCTTAATGTTCAAGCCTCAAATTCCTTGTCTACACAGTGGATGTAAGAGAATATACCCTGCAGTAGGGTTGAGAACATAACATCATTGGACTAGGCTAAAAGTGGCCCTGGGCTCGGCTCTAGAGGGTCATGGAATCTTCAGAACAAAAGGAACATGCCCACCCAGAGCCTGTCTAGTCCCTAAGCCATACTCCAGGGACCAAGGACCCTGAAGTTCCCCGTCCAAACAGCTCTCAGTCCACTTCCAGGGCACGCAAAAGCCTTTTCCTGGATTCATCCTCCCCAGAGTAGACTGCACACCTGGCCAGTCCTCCTCTGCTGGAGGGGCAGCCAAGGAGCAGAAGTTTGCAAGGAAGGAGTGGATGATGCCTGGGAGTGTGGGCAGGGGTGTCAGCATGTGTGCTCCTGAGGCCTGGAATGGGAGAAGGCGGGTGGAGGAAGAGAAGCCCGTGTGGCTGGCTCTCCCCACGCTGCCACCGTCCAGAGCGGTTCTCCGATGTGTCCCAGAATTCTCAACTGGCTCCTCGCCCTCCAGGACATTATGATACTTTATGTATTAAGGTCAGGGGATAGAGCCTACTTTATTTTACAAATTGTTAGCTTGATTTATAACTTAGTGGACATTTAGTACGTGCCAGGCCTTCATTTGTACCCGTGAGACTGGTTGAGAAGTCCAGAAGTAATGACCACGAAGCAAGCAGCACAGTGCCTGGCACGTAGCGGGTGTTTGTACCAAAACAGCTCTCACTACGACTATTAACAATCAGAATAATTGCTCTGGCCTCACCCAACTCAAGGAGTGCCACGCCATCCCCCGAGGGGCTCCCACCTACCTTTTCCCCCGGAGTGACTGAGATCCTCCAGACGCAGTGGGAATAGGAAGGGTAGCCGTTTGGGAAACCAGGTGCAGAAAAGTTTCCTGTTGTGTCCTGCAGGGTCTCCCCACACGCTGCACGAGCAAAATGACAACTGTGATGTGGCCCGTGATGCACCCAGTCCCCGCACAGGCAGCTCTCGCACAGGGCGGCCGCGTGGACACACCCCTTCCCCAGGCAAAGCCCTCGGAACAGGCTGATGAGAAGCGAGCCAGGCAGACTGACATTTTTCTGGCTAACAAAAGCACAAGTAGGGCCTGGGTGCCAAAAAGTGACACTCTAGGGAAACCTGCTGAGGGTTTCAGGACTGAGCATGGCCTAGAGCTCATGAATCTCAGCCCTCCAGCTGGTTGTGTGGCCGTGGGCGAGTTTTCCAGCCTTGCTGGGCCTTAGTTTTCTTCTCTGTAAAATGGACAGGACCTACCTCAGAAGGGTAGTGAAATCACGTGCATTACGTGAAACAGATCAGCTCAGTGCTTGGCATGCAGTGAGTGCTCCATCTATGGTAGCCATTATAATTGATAATAATAATATCTGTGCTAGAGAAAATATGAAAGTTCAAGTAGGTGAAGCAAAAAGAAAAAAAAAATGCTTTGAAATGCATTTCAGTTGTTAATTTGAATCTTTCTCTTCTTTTTCTCTTACCCACCTCTGAAAGATGCCAAGAAAACAGAAAAATGCAGAGGCATAGGAAGCCGGAATATCGCGTAGCAAGCCGTTCTGCTCTTGCATGTTTGAGGGCTGCCTGGTTATGAGTCTAGAACCTAGTCTTTATGTATGAGAAGAATATTTCCCCTAATTTGCATAAATACTTGGAAGCTGCAGGTTTCATATTTCCCTAACCCCCAGGGATTCATACTCCAAAGATACAGACACTGGTTTGCTGAGTATCCTCCTCTTACAGGGCCACCCCCGGCCATGTGGGACGCAAGCATCCTTAAGCATCTTTCCCTACGTGCAGTTCAACCTCCGCATGGCAACTGCCCGAGCTTCCAGTTACTCCTCGAGACTACTTGAAGCTCTGTATTTTTGGGAGCTGCAGGAAGGGATATGCAGAGAATTGCCCATCATTGGCCCCAGGAAATCCTGGATATCGACGCTTCGATATCACGTTACTGAACAACTGCCAGGCATCATGAAGATTATGCCTGGCAGCCAACACCCCCGAGGGCTCCATGAAAATTATTTTGGAATAATCATCAACATTTTGCAAGAACAGATACATTACTGTGTGGCTCCATGGTATTCACCAGCTGCCTCGAATCCTTTAGGGAAGTGAGCAGCATATACATTATAACTAAATAAATACTGCGGCATTTCCCAGGGAATGCTATAAGGTTTCCTTTTAAATTCAGCAAGGTTATCTGATATGTGTGTCCTGTATTTTAGCCCTAACACGCCCCCAGATGACTAATAGCTGAATGGACATGTTTCCTAGAGTTTCTTGAGGAAGCGAGCCCCACGCAGCTCTTGGCATGCCCCGTCGTCCTGCTTAGCAGAACAATGTGACAGCCCAGACTTTCTAAGGGGCCTCCATTTCAAATATCCTGTCCCATGATCAAACACTGGGTCTGGTTTTAGGGGTTCAGAAGAGGCTGTTGGTCATGGAACCTCCTTCATTCCTCCTAAAACCACTGACATGCACTCTGTCCCACCAGTGGTAAAAACTTAGCTGCTATAAGCAATGCTTTGCATTGACGCGCAGTAGCTTAAAGGGCCAAGGAGCGCTTACCCCAGGACAGCGAGTGTGAGTGTGTGTGTGTGTGTGTGTGTGTGATGATGCAGCTGAAGCCAAGGGGACAGAGTCAAAAAGGGCAAATTCAAGGAGAGGGGACTTTCATATAGGCCAAGGAACAGACCCCACCTTCTCCAAAACATTCTCCCTCATTCTCTGTCTTCCTGCCAAGTCCCCCTTGGTTCTTGTTTGGCCAAACCACATCCCCTAGTCCCACAGAAAGGACTGTCTCACTGTCACGGGAGCACACTGCACCGAAGACCTGTTTGCTTTTGTTCTGCTCTGCCTTCTTCCTCTTACGAACACTTTTCCAGAGTACCTTCTGGCAAGTTCGGCTGTGGGCTCTAAGACCTGATATTCTCCTCTCTTCCTGCAATCATGTCACTGTGTCGGCTTTCTACGCTGCCCAGCACCTCCTACCAGAAAGACCCTGAGCAGTAGCCCATTAGGTTCCCCATGTTGTTTTCCCACAAGGGGGACCGTGCTTCCCGGATGCCAGGGAGGCTCATGGTTACCTTACCTGGGCATTTGTACAGCTTCCTGGCTTGAGCTATGTCTCCCTGACTGAGCCGAACACGCTGGCCAATGGTTGGCCTGACGCCATTGTCATCTCGACGGGGGAGGATGGTGTCTAAGAAAACTCCTCTACAGGAAGGAAAAAAAAAGAGAGAGAGAGAAAGAAAAGTCAAGGCCATCGGGCTGTCCATGAGGGATTTCCCACCTTCATTTCCTTGCCCGTACCCCATCAGCAGTCCTGCCCCTGGCCTGCCTCCCCCGGGCTTGCATGACTGACCAGGTCCCTTTGCTCATGCTGGCATTTTTACATTCCATTCCATCAGCAGCCTACTCACTTTCCAATGGCAAGATGACTCTGCCAAGTTCAAAAATATGCCCTAGCCCAGTAGCCCGGGGCATCCTTACTGATGCACACTGAGCATTTCCATGAAGTCCCTGGCAGGTCAGGCCCCAGAGCCAGCACCACGCTGCACAACTGCAGGGAGCCCCATTCAGAGAGGCCACGGTGTGAGTGGCGCCCCCTGAAGTTGTGCGCTGGGCAGTACTGTGCACACGGCAGTCTTGGAGCCACCCCAGGGAGAGCTTGGGAACTGGGACAGCAGGAAACTCCCAGGGCTGGCCAGCAAGAGCAGGCGGATGCACTGCTCATCGGAGTCTGGGGGCCTTGCTGGCAAGAGGGCAATCAGGTGGAAAATGAGATGAATGCAGAGAACGAGAGGGAGTGAAAAGAGCCCTGGGCTAGAGAATTCTAAACCAGGCCTGCTTCTGCCACCTGGGTGAGCTTGGACAAGTCCTTTCCTCTCTCTGAGCCTCAGTTTACCCCTCTGAACAATAAGAGATTGGCCCAGGTGGTCGTGGCAGCCCCTTCTATCCCTAACATCTTATTCTATTCCTACGTGACTGAAATCTAAAATGACAGCTTCATTTCCAAAGCAGCGAGTGGGAACCAGGATGCCCGGCTGAGCACCAGCCCGTGGTGAGCATGGTTTACACCCTGCCTGCTGCCCAGTGTGCTGCCAGCTCTGAACCTCCTCCTCTGCCCCAAGACCCTCAGTCTGGGGCCTCTCCTGCAGGGGAGGACTTTCCTTGAACCAGCTCCTTGCCCAGTTACCACCTTGTTTCTTTCCTTCCCTTCTCACCCAAGTTTCTAGAAAGTGTTGTCTCCATCCTCTGAGGCTGACCTCTCCTTTGCTCCTCAACACAGCTGTGATCTGACTGCATCAGCAATGGTCACCGCTCGCGAAGCAGCGGAGGACACTTTTCCAGCTCCACCTCCACTCTCTCCAGCACTGGGACCTCTGTACCCCCACCTCACCCTCGCCCTGGTTCCAGGGCACTGCTCTTGCTGAGCAGGGAGATAAGAGCCACTGCTACTTCCCCTCAAATGATGCCCTGTGGATTTCTGCCCTCACCCACTATCTTCTCTCTCTCCATGTTCCACCTTCTCCTGTGAGTATTAACCACCTCCTAGATCCTAGCTCATCAGTTCATAGCTAATTCTCTGTGTTCATAGCCCAGAACCATCTGCTAAGCCCCGGATGCCTGGTGACACCTCCACCAGGCTGTCCTATGGGCAGCCTCTTATGTCGAACAGGCTCAAAACCAAATTTTATTGGGATTTCATTCTTCTCCTGCTCATTCCATGACCCTTATCCCTTATCCTCTGAGCCTGAATCTGAAGGCACCTCGGCTCCTCCCTCTCACACACACTCTCCTGTGGAAACCAGTAGCCAGGTCTTGTCCACTGCACTTTCCATGCACACCTGGAATCCATACCCTCCTCCTCGTTCCTGGACCACTGCCTTGGCTCGGTGATCAGCACTCCCTTCCTGAATTGTTTCCAGTGGCTTCTTAAGTGACCTCCCTCCCTGTAGACTCAGCCACTTCTGCTCTACTCCCCATCCCACAATGCTACAACGTGATCCTCCTGAAATGCAAGGGTAGGAGTGGAGACCATTGCTGATGCAGTCAGATCACAGCTGTATTGAGGAGCAAAGGAGAGGTCCGCCTCAGAGGATGGAGACAACACTTTCCAGAAACTTGGGTGAGAAGGGAAGGAAAGAAACAAGGTGGTAACTGGGCAAGGAACTGGTTCCCAAGGAAAGTCCTCCCCTGCAGGAGAGGCCCCAGATTGAGGGTCTTGGGGCAGAGGAGGAGGTTCAGAACCCTTCACCAACTTCCCATCACCACTTGGATCTCTAGGTCATTTGCTGGCTGGCTTCTGCCGTCCCCTCCAGCTGCATCTCCTGACATCTCCACTTACTCATTGTCTTAAGCAACACTGAGCTCTTCCTAGCCCCAAACGTACCCTTGCCTGTGCTATCCTCTCCCCAGGCTGCCCATGCCCCATCTTCTCATCTGCTCACAAACTCCTCTTCATTCTCCAAAACCCATCCAAAGTCTGTCCCTCTTAAAGGTCTTCCCCAAGCCCTTTCTACCACTCCCACCTGGAGTTAATCATTCCTTGCTCTGGGCCCTATTTGTTTGTCTAGTCTCCTCTTGTGATACTGTATTGTCTTCTTTGAGGAGTGGTAGTGTTTGTCTTCTTTGCTAAAAGTAAGTCCTCAAGCAGAGAGACTGGGTCCTTTATCTCTGTCCTTAGGGACGGGAGCATAGCAGGCATCAAGAAATGCTGCTTAAATTAAATTATGCAGCCAAGATTGGGAACTGTCTTCAAAAACCTTTGCAAAATAGTTATTTACATCCAAAAGGAAATGCAAGAGTGTGCCTAGTTCTAAAGCACTTGTTTCCCTAAATTGCACTATCTTGGAAAATACAAATTACCCCTATTTCTTCCTGGTTACATCACTTTGTTATCTTTTTGTTTTAGTTTATAGTTGTTTTTTTTCCTAAATCAGACTGCAAGCTCTCTTTCCAACCTTAGTATGTGGAAGTCTAGATCATCTGATAATCTCCATTTCAGCATCCATCTACCCAAATATAACCCTCTGCCCTGTCTTTATTTAATTCCCGTTGCCTCGCCTGTGGGTCCAGAGTCCTCTAGAGAAACTTTGGTGGAATCCTCGGTCTCCCTCACTGACTTCACCAAGTTTTAAACCACCAGTGATGACTCCATGCAAAATTCTAAACTCAGTAACCTGCTATTCTAAAAACAGGTACTTCTGCCCTAAACAAAGAGGTGTCCATTTGTAATGATTTTCTTGGTTACCCTGAGGAAAGAAATTTTGCAGCACAAACATAAGCATCACCACAACCTCTAAGCACCCCACGCTAACTAACTCTGCTCGTGGCCACACCAAACAGGTGACTTTGCCAGTGGGACCACGTGGAGACCAAGTTCTTCCACGCACTCGTTGTTCATAGGACTTTCCTGTGTGCCAGGCCTGGGCCGGGCACTCGGCATGCACCATCTCATTTCATCATCATAACACCCGAGGTGGCAGGTGCCCTTATCACCAGGGTTCTCGCTCTACCGCTGTGGCAACTGAGCCTGCACAGCTTAAATGACTTGCCCAGGCTACAGAGCTGGTGATGGCGAGGTGGGCCTGGCGCTCACCTTCCAGCCAGTGTTTCCCACTGCCAGAGACACAGTAGGCCTTAATGCGCACTCAATGATAGAGCTAAGAACACTGGAGACTTCAAAATCAAAACATCGGAAACAGCATTGGCTCACACTCAGACAGCTCCTTGGTGCTGGACTCCCTCCCCTGCACGTCCCTGAGCTGCCAGCAAGCACTTCCAGCTCTGGAAGATGTTTACTACGAGAGCTGCCGTCCCCTGTGTAAACCACGGCAGTGACGTTCCTCCCCCGTTTCATGTAGGGCAGCTCTTAGCACTGTCATTCTGCTAAACTAAGAAAGAGTTCGGCAGATGCCTTAGGGAATAAAACTGTCAGCTCTGAGTTCTCAAACAGAGACGCCCCTGTACCAGAAACTATCCCCTCATCTCCTGGACCCTTGCCCAACAAAACCTCCAAAGATACCACTCCCCACGCCTCGGTCCAACCAAGGGGGAGGGGAGAAGAACTGCAATAAACTAGAGGGAGTAAAGTTGGAAGGAGATAGCTCAATCGTAAAGAGACACACAAAGACTGGGTTGCGCATCAGCAGGGCATAGCATTTGCCCCCCAGATGAGTGTATGTTCTGTAGGCTACTTTCTCCTCTTTTACAGAAGCCAAGACAAGGTGCAGGCCAGCACCAGGGGATTTGTGACCGGGAGTAATGACATGGAGTCAGAGTGGGGAAAATACTGACGAAATGCCTGAGAAGCCCACCAGTAAGAATCCAGTGAACAAAGTAGTTTTCCGAAAATCCATGCAAAAAAATGGGCAGAAAGGACAATGCAGGTATTCACCTGCAGCAAAAGAGATTTGCCAAAACCATTCGGAACTCTGGGGAGGAGGTGAGAAGGTAGCAGTGACAGACTGTTGAAATAATGAGTTGCTCCTCCTAATAGCCATCTCCCCTTGCAACGTGAAGCTGCCACTCCTCCAGTAAGAGAGGGCATCTGTTTCTCACTCGCCTGAGTCTGGGTTGGCCTATGTCTTGCTTGCACCAAGACAATGTGGCAGGAGTGATGTCATGCAAGTTCTAGAGCCTGGGCCTTACGAGGCTTGCAGCTTCTCAGCTTGCCCTCTAAGAACTCTGAGTCCCCCTGCAGTCCCGGTCCAGCCTCCTGCAGGATGAGAGGCCACATGAATGAGAACCAAGGGGCTCCTTTGCAGAACCAAGGGCCATAGACAGGCAGCATCAAGAGCCAGGCATGTGACCGGACACTGTGGACGCCCCAGCCTAATCAAGCTGTCAAATGACTGTCGCTGTGAGTGATCCCAGGCAAGCCCAGGGAAGAACGGGCCAGACTGACCCACAGTATCATAAAAAAGAATAGGCTCCGGTCATAAGTCCCTAAGTTTGGGGGTCAGCCGTTCTGCAGCAGTAGATAACGCAATAGTAGCAGGTGGGGCCGTCTGCCCTGGCGAGTGGCTCTGCTCCAGCTGCCCATCCTCCCACGTCCGCCCCTGCCAATCTCCCTCCTGGGGATTCTGGGGACTTTGGGTGAGAAATTATTTCATGGGTTCGGCCCAAGGATTTCCACTGGTCTGTGCTGATGAAATGATTCACATTGACAATAGCGTCAGTAATGGTTATTCTGAGGGGCAAAAGGCATGGGATTATGAGCTAGAGATCACAGAAAAAAAATAGAGATTTTTTTTAAAAAGAAAGACAAGAAAAGAAATGCTGGTCTGGAAGATTCTCTGCCTGCATTCCTGTCCTGCCTCTGGCTTCAGAGCTTGTGCAGCGCCTGGCACAGAGCAGGTGCTGAGAAGGCAGTGCTGTTCCTATAACCACAAATGCCCTGCATGGTAGAGACCTAGAGAGTCTCTTTAATAAAATGACCACTGTGCTTGGGAGTATGTGGAAACAATTGCAATGAGCATAACGGAAATTTCCACCCTCACCTATTCCCCAGCATTACAGATCCCCCAGCCCTTCTGAACTCATTCATTAATTCCTCCATTTAGCAGACGTCTATTAAGCACCTACTGTGTGCCAGGCACCAGGTTGGGTGCTGAGGACTAGAAGACAGTGAGCTAGTCTCTGTCCTCAAGGATCTCAGTCTATTGAGGGAGAAGGGAATGCAACAGATAAATTAATATTAATGAATAGATAAATTATAAAGCATCATGATGAATTATGACAGTTACAGAAACAAGACTCAAGGAAAAGCTTCTCACTTGGGCCAACTTGACACTGGTTCCCTGACAGAATTAATACTCTGTCTCTGGTAGCAGCCTGCAGCTCCTGGATGATGGGGAGGGCCTGGGTATTTCCTGCACCATTTCCCAAATGCATCCCACTTCTGACATTTGCAGGGTGGGCCCTCACCTGCCAGCTCCGCTGGCTTCCCTAGACTCCTGCAGACAGCCCACAGTGGACAAGGCCAAATCTCAGTCTCCCAAGCTGGAGGAGGAAGCCCTGCCAGCTGCAGATTTCCTGTATGGTAGTGAATGAGATCATATCTGTCAACCCCTCACCTCCCTGAACAGGATTGAGAAATTGTAATGTGGAAGGTTCGAGCTGGAAGGGACTCAGAGAACAGGTAGTTAAACCCTCTCATGAGGAAATGGAGGCCCACGGAGGTGGAGACTTCCCACGAATCACACAGCTGCCCCTGGTTACTGCCTGCGTCTCCTCAACAGCAAGATTCATGGGAAAACTAGGACTAGACCCTGGTCTTCTGCCTCTCAGCTCAGTGGACTCTTCATCTCCCCACGTTTCTTCCTGCACCTCTGACAAACAGCAGGAGAAGAGCAAAGAGTCCAGGGAGGCTCAAGCTCGTGCCACTTGCAAGTGCTGTTGAGGATGCCAACTTCAGCACAACTGTACCCGTTAGAGCTGTAGAGGGCTCCTGCCTGGGTGCAACTTAGAGATCACGGCTAGACAGCTGTGTGGCCAGAGGAACAGTGTGCCCTGAGAACTTGGGATGCTGAGAATCAGCGGATCCTCCCACGGTCCTACGACCTCATCAACAGGATGCCTTCAGCAGCCTTACCCAAGAACCCAGGAGCTCTGCATGAGTAGTTTCCCTTTCACTCCCAAGAGCCTTATGTTTCCTGAGCAAATGGTTTCTTTTAATCTTTATGGACATAGAGATTCATGAAGTGCATTGTTCCCCTCTTTGCTGTGACTGCTAGGAAGTGTAGGGCAGGATTTGCTGCCAACCTCAACAAAGTGTACATGACCTTATGGCATCTGTTCTGAACACTAACTTTATGCCAGGCTTCAACTTAGCTTTCTACCTTATTTTTTTCCCTCTCCTTTCCCCCAGTTTCCTCACCTATTTTTTTTTCTTGTTGTCCCATGTGTATATTGGAAGTCATCTCAAATCTTTCGGGAGGAATGATTAAATAAATAAACAAACAAGCAAATAGTTGGTTTTAACAGAAGACTGAAAAGAAAGTGTTCCAAGAGAAAAAATATTTGTACTTTGTGTATCTCCTTTAACACAAGGGTAGAAAGATTTGTTATACAACATTGCAACAAGTAGGGGGAAAACTTCTGCACACAAAACACTTACATGGTCTGGAAGCAATGGCAGTATTGAAAATCCCTAACATCTGCTTGGCACAGCACATAAGAACAGCTCATCAGAACAGACCCTGCTGGTGCTGCAAATAACTGGTTGGGCCCTACGTGGGTATACCAGCTCCCATTATCTGCGACGTGCAGGCGAGAGGCCTGGGTGCTTGTTCTCACCCTGACCCCAGCTGCCTGTGCACCCATGAGCTGGCTGGAGCCTTACCTGAGAGTCTTCACCTCTCAAATGGACCCATGACTTACAGCCCTCCTAGCTCTGACATGGCCCAGCTTCCAATAGACCAAACCTCTTCTAGGAGGGCCAGTGAGTTGCTACCACACTTATATTAATATAAGGACGTGCTTGAGAAGATTCCCCCACCCACTGGAAATTTTACACAGAGCCTCTAAGTTATTAGCTCAGCCAACCTCTCAATAATTTCCCCTTTCCAGTTTGCTGCTTGTGACATTAGGGCATGATGGAATGCCAGCTTCACAATGGGATTCAGTCTTATTAGTGGGAACCTGATTAGATTATATTTCACTGCAGCCCAGAGGCCACTGTATTTCAAGGACAGACAGGCCAGCCCTGCTAGGAGCATGCAGAGACCTACTCTCCGCAGACCTCCAGGAATCCGACCCAAGCCTGCGGCAGGCACAGTAAAACACAAAAGAGGCATAAGCAGAGATTCCGACCTTGAGAAGGTGTTCCGGGCGTAGTGCATGATGCTGTCAAAGTCGTACGTCTCTCCCAGAGAGCTCACTTCCCCAGCTTCCATTTTTAAGAAATTATACTCCTGACCTGTGACACAACACTCTGTTAAGGCCTTTGAAAACCAAGCCAGGCACCTGAAAGGAGGCAGAGGAGGGAGAAGGAGGGCCCATGGCAACTTCTCGGGGCTCTCTTAGCCCAATCAGTCAAACAGGGTTTGTGGTGGTTCTTGTCATTTTTAATAGATTGGAAATTTGAAACTTAGAGCAAGCCCTATGTTCTCCCATCCCAAGACCCCTCCCCCAATGAGACTCAAAACTCTTAAACTAAGTTTGCATACACATTAGTTATCAATCTGCTTGCCCCCAAATTAAAAATAACCAAAAAACTCTGAGCTTTCAATTTGAAGAAACAAAAGAAAATGAATCAAAGAGTCAAATTCAATCCCAAATAGTTCACAATTTAGATTCTGTAAGTCTAAAGAATTTTTAAGGCAATCTTATTTATCAACTAGCTCCTTGCATGTTCAATAGGAACTTCTATACAATATTATTTGACATAAGGTATTTTAAAAAATCTAGACACTTTATCTGCCTTGGGGAAGAATGTTTCTAGGCAGAAATACTGTTTTCGCACATACACTTGTCCTAATTGTATTTCAGTTTCGAAAAGAAGTGTTGCCTGTCAGCAAAAATGACTCAGAAAAACAGCCAGGAAAATCCTTTTTTTGACTTATCAGCTCTGAGGCTGAAACAGTGTTCTGGTGGATTGTGTTCCTTTTAGGAAATGGAGTTGGATTTCATTGTCCTCTACAACATGGGAAATCCTTTCGCTTCTGCTCTAAACAGCCAGCCATGGCAGATGACCGCGCAGGAAGCCATAGATGGACAGTGGCAGTGCTGGTGACAAACACCTGCAGAGTAGGGTGGCTGACAAACACCTGCAGAGTAGGGTGGCTGACAAACACCTGCAGAGTAGGGTGGCTGACAAACACCTGCAGAGTAGAGTGGCTGCCCCGTCTTCAACAACTGCAAGCCCTCTCCTTCCCTCCCTCCGGGCCCTGCGGATGGCACCTCCCTGGCCAGTCGCTTCCAGACTCCTCAAAGGCCTCCTTACCTGGCTGGATATTTTCTCTGATAATGGTGACGTGCTGGTCTCTGTCTGGCCGGGTGTGTTCATGCCAAAACCCAACCACGTGGCCCAGCTCATGAGCCACAATGCCGAACTTGTCACAGTTTTTCCCAATGGATATGGCCTGCGGACCTCCTCCTCGACGCCCGACATAGGAGCAACAGCTGGGCAATGGCAGAGATCTCAGGTCAGCAGGTCAGGGCACATTCAGAGCAAGAAGCAGCTCTCCCCACCCCCTGCCAACCACCGTGTGTGTATGTGTGTGTGTGTGTATGTATGTATGTAAAAGAAAGACTTTCAGAGGTGAAAGTGTTCTCATTGTCCAACTTCCCACCCAAAATTTCCCCCAAAAAATGGTTCTTGACCATTTTGGTGGTCACGGATCCTCTTGAGAATCTAAAGAATGGCATGGCCTCGCTCCCTGAAATAAAGTGCGTACCAGGCCCACCCCTCCAGCCCCCAGGTGCCCGTGTCTCTGCTGGACTGTTTCTGGTGACAAGGAGAAGAGACAAGGAAGGAGGCCGCTGCGTCTCTGCAACGCATGCATCTTGGTACCACTATCAGGGGAGCCTTAGAGATGACTCCCTTCATTGTTCCCAGTACAGAAAGTTATAAAAAAGAAACTAACAGGGCCCATAATTTCACCACCCAGATAACCTCTACTGACAGTAAAAAAAAAATACATGATCATATTACAAAAGATTGATTTAGTCTCTCACTCCCCCACACCCAACATTTTTATCCAAAGATAACCATTGCTAATGGTTTCTTGCATGTTCTTCCATGCAAGAAATTTTGATGCTATAGCTATATGGAGAGATGCAGATATCTCTCTATATCAGTATTCAAATTACACAATACACCATGTACATTGTTCTTTATCTTGCTTCTTGTCCTCCTTAATTTAGAGATCTTTATATAACAGCACATACAGATCTCCTTCATTCTTTTCAAAGCAACATAGCATTACATTTATTTCGTAGTACTAAATTTTTTCATAGTACTAAAATTTATTTCATCAGTTTCCTATTAATGTACATTTAGCCTAATTCCAGTTTTTGCTATTTCAACAAAGCCACAGGGGAGAGAGGAAGACAAACCAAAAAAAAAACCAAATCAACAACAATAACAAAAAACAAAACAAACGATTGGACTCTTACTTATTCATGGTAGGGTAGATTTCTAGCAATGGGATTAACAGATAAAAGGGTACGTGCATTTGAAATTTTGACAGATACTATCAATTGCACTTCTCAAATATTATCTACTTGTATACTCACTAATAATATATCAAAAGCCCCATTTACCCACACCCTGGCCAATGCTGGTTTTATCAAACAATTTTTGTCAATTGGATAGGTAAAAAATGGCATTTCACTGTAGTGAGGTTGGATAGTTTTTCACATATTTTATGGGATATTTGTATTTTTTTCCCCATGAACTATGTGTTCATATCTTCCCCTATTTTTCTTTTGGGTTGTCCATCTTTTTATTATTGATTTTTAAGAACCATTTGTAAATCAGGGAAACTAGAATTTTGATTGTCAAAAGGGTTGCAAGGCCAGGCGTGGTGGCTCACGCCTGTAATCCTAGCACTCTGGGAGGCCGAGGCGGGCGGATTGTTTGAGCTCAGGAGTTCGAGACCAGCCTGAGCAAGAGCGAGACCCTGTCTCTACTAAAAATAGAAAGAAATTAATCAGACAACTAAAAATATATAGAAAAAATTAGCTGGGCATGTTGGTGCATGGCTGTAGTCCCAGCTACTCGGGAGGCTGAGGTGGAAGGATAGCTTGAGCCCAGCAGTTTGAGGTTGCTGTGAGCTAGGATGACGCCACAGCACTCTAGCCCGGGCAACAGAGTGAGACTCTGTCTCAAAAAAAAAAAAAAAAAAAAAAAGGGTTGAAAATATTTTTCTCACTGTGTTATTTCTCATTTGATTTTGGTTTTATTTTATGTCCTGTTTTTGTTTTCTTTTTGTCATATAAAAGTGTTAGATTTTAAATTCAAATTTAAATTAGGTTAAATTTTTAAAGTTTTGCACATAAATTTATAAAATGTCTTCATTTTCTTATTTGCTGCTGAGAAAGGCCATCCATATTTCAAGATTATAAATAAAATCTACCCTTATTTCCTTCTAATGCTCTTGTAGGTCTTTTTCTTTCTTTTCTTTTCTTTATTTCTTTTTTTATGTTTTCATCTTTAATCCAGCTGGAATAGTTTTTTGGTATAAGAAGTGAGGTAGGAATCCACCTCTTTTTTTTTTCCACAGATTATCCCAGTATTCAAACATCCCAATGGACTAATCCATCTTTCTCTCACTCATTTAAAATGCTACCTAAATTTGTGTATAGGTATATTCATTTTGAACCCTTTTTTCCATGTATCTATTTTTTCTTAAGTTACAAATTATTTTAATTGTTATTATCTTCATTTTGCATTTTAATATTCTGTATGTTTAGATATATCATCGGACCCCTATCTCTGGCATTACTGTTTCTCTCTCTCTATCTATCTTATTTCTACATTGTTCTTCTTCCATATAAATTCTAACATGGTTCAAGTTCTAAAAAAAAGTCCATATGCATATATGTGTATAAAGATGTTGGTGTTTAAATCAGAATGGCATGAATTTATGGATTATTTTAGGGAGTTCTGACATCTGTACTATGTTGAGTATTCCTACACCAGGAAATGGTATGCACTTCTATTTTTATTTTATTTTATTTAGGTTCCTTGGCGTTTTAGCAGTTTCTTCCTATAGGTCTGGCACATTTTTGCATTTTTGTTAAGTTTATTCTTAGATATAGTATCTATTATGTTTCTATTAGGGTTGTGATATTTTCCCTATTATAAAAGCATACCAAACTATTTCATGTATAAAGAAAAGTAATTAATTTTTGGTTAATTAACTAATTTTGTGATCTGTAACTTAACAGAGTCTCCCTGTGTTTTTAACAGTTTTTCAGTTGATATTCTGGGTTTTCTAAGCACATAATCACATTAACTTCCAACAATGCAAATGTTGCCTCGTTCCTGCCAATATTCAGTGTTTATTTTTTTCTCTTGTCTAATTATATTAGTTAGTATTTCCAAAACAATGTTGAATAATTATGGTGGCTATAAACATCTTTGACTTTTTCCTGGCTCTAACAGAAATGCTTCTAGGAATATCATTGTTAAAACATGATGCGGGCTTTTGGTTTGAAATCACATATATAGATAGATAGATAGATAGATAGGTAATATATATATATTTTGTAATTCAAGAATCTATCCTTGACGTCTATTTCTGTGCTACCTTGACTACTTTTTTATAACAAAACATGCATGTCGAATTGCGCAGATGCCTTTTAGCATCTATTGTTCTTTCCTTTGATGGATCAATCATGGTAATAGATTTCCTAATGTTGAACTAGTCTTCCATTCCTTAGATAAACCTAGTTGGCAGCCTACTCTTCTTTTCTTCTACTGTGGAATTCTTTATTTTTCATTTATTTATTTATTTTCTTTTTTGAGACAGGGTCTCCCTTTGTCGCCCTGGCTAGAGTATACTGCTGAATTCTTTATTTAGGATTCCACATGGCTATTCATATGTGAGATGAGTCTATAATTTTCTTCTTTTCCTTTGGTGCCATCTTTGTCATTTCGGGGTAGCAATGCTATGTTAGTTCCTTAAAAGTGATCTGGAAGTGTTCCTCTTTCTCTATTCTCTAAAAAGCTCAAATAGTACCAGAATAATCTGTTTCTTGGAGGTTTAAAAGAATTCACCTGTGAAATTCCGGATTTGGTGCTTTGGGGGAGATAGCTTTTTCCTCCAATTTTCAATTTTTCTTGAAGTTATTGGTCTGTGCCAGTAATATTTACCTTGAAATCTTTCATATTATCTACATTTTCACATTTCTTGCCCTAGAGTTTTGCAAACTACTCTTTTATGATTCTGCTGAATCTGTGGCTAATTTCCTCTTTTTGATTTGTAATTTTGTGTGTTTCTGCAGGTCATTTTCTGTCTCACTTAAACTAATGAGTGGTTTAGCTATCGTTTTTTGTTTTTTTTAATTGGAGAAAAAGCATATAAATTTATTAACATAAATACTAAGAGAATCACAGAGTGATTACTCACCCTCCAAGGGGGTTTAGAAGCTTATATACCATCTTGAGGTCATGTTACCAAAAGTTTGGCACTTGCCCCAGAGGCCGCATCAGAAGAACGAGGACAAGTGGTTTGAGGAGAAGGAAAGAGGAATTTACTAATTTGCTGGCAGAGAGGAGGTTGGCAGACTCCTGTCTCAAAGTTCCAATGTCCTCTGTTTTTTTTTTTTTGTTTATTCAAATAATTTACTCTTGAATTTATTAACTCTATGAAGTGTTTCACCTTGGCTGTTTCCTTGTGCTCTCATTGAGTTGACTTTGTTCTGGTGGTGGTGGTGGGTTTTATTTATTTCTTTTCATTAACTTCTTGAAACTGAATATTTCATTGCCATTGGTGTGAACTGGTGCTGTGGTTTTTTTCTCTGGACATAGCCTTAGCTATATCTCTTTCATTTTGAATTTTAGGGCTTTCATTATGTAGACATTCTGCAGTTTTAATCTTGATTTTTGTATGACCTGAGAGCTATAAAAAAGGGGGTGGGGGAGCTTTTAATTTACGAGGTAATGTTTATTCCATTTTTGTTATTATGTATAATTTCATTGCTTTGAAATCAGAGAATATTTTAATGCTATTTCTGCCTTTTAGAAGCCATTAAGATGTTCTTAATGCTTAATAGATAGTCAAGGTTTATAATCCTTGAATAGGCACTTTAAAATTATGTTATCAGGTTACAGAATCTGATGGACCTATGGAATCAACTCTATTAATTATATTTTTCAGATCCTCTATGAATCCATACTTGCTTTTTGGTCAACTTGACACTGATTTACTCCAGCTGACAAAAATGAAATAAGTCTCCCGCTGCTGGTGTTTCTGTCAATTTCCCCTTGAATTCCCTGGGGCTTGTTTTATGACTGTTAATGCTATGCTATCTGGTGCATGAAGATTTATGACAGTTATAATCTCACTGTAGCTTGTATCCTTTCTCATTAAAAACTGTCTCATCTTTTTTTAAAACACTTTCTGACTGTAAAAACAAAAAAAAAAAACAAACAAAATAACAAAAACTAAAATTGAGACCCCAGCTTTCTTTCTGTTAGCATTTGCCTATATAGCTTCTTTCCTTTTACTTTCAAACCTCTAGGTCATTTTCTTCAGTAACCATCTTTGTACAGAACATGTAGTTGGGACTGGGTTTGTGACCCAACATGAGAATCTTTTTCTTTCCATAGGGGAGTACATCACACTTACATTTACTGGCATAACAGATAACTTTATTCATAAGCCAGTCATTTTATTACATGCTATGTTTTCTGTATGAAGTCTGTAAGCCCATGGAGTCCCTACAATCCCATGCAGAATTTTGCATATGTGTACACCCATTCTTGAGGGAGGAAAGCCCACAACTTCATCAGATTCTCAATGCGGTCCCTGATCCCAAGAGGTGAAGAACCCCAGGCTTCCGTCTTTCTCCCTGTGACACACCACTAGGTCCTGCCATTGCTCTCCTAGGGACAGGACCCCTGGTCTCCCTGGAGTCTTCCTCTGGCCCCACCTGCTTTGCTACTGGACTGTGACTTCACTGAAGGCAAGGAGTTTCTAGAAAACCCTGGAGTCCTATTAACAGCAGCTCATTGGAAACAGTTTTGCAGAGAAAACCAAGACTCATGAACCATCTGATTTGTTGCCTCTGGCTCTGCTGTGGCGGCCTTGCTTTCACTTACTCACCCACAGGTCCTGTAACTGAACACAATGAAGCTTTCCTCATCGGTCCTTTCTATGAAGGTCACACAGGTGTGCTTCTCCCAGTGTCTCATGGCCTGCTTAAAAATGGCCCTCTGGCTTCCTGAAACAACAGAGCAAACGCTGGTCACTTCAATGAATCCGCACTTTCCTTAGATGCCTAAGACAAAGCTTGTTCCGATGATCAAGAAAAGCTTGTTAATGATACTGTCTTGTTTACTCGAAATGTGGTAAGAGAGCAGATTTTATGTCCTCACCTGTCCCCATGCACAAAAAATGATAACCATGGGTGGCGATGGATATGCTAATTAATTAGATTGTGGTGATCGTGACATAATATATCAAATCATCACATTGTACACCTTGAATATATACACTTTTTATTTATCAGTTAAATATTTTAAAAAAAATTTTTAAAAGCTTGCTCCGGTGACCCAGAATAGAAATGCGGTAGGAATAAGGATTTCCCTTGCTAAAAATACAACGTAATTTCCTGAATTGACAAAACCTAGACAGTAAGAGTTTGTGGATTGGAAGGGAGGGTAAAAAATAGATTTTCTAAATATCCTGGGCTTCCCAACTTTTCCTTTGTATTAAAAATATTTTCTAAACTTTTAAAAAACCGTACCCAGGTTAATCAGTTTGGAAATGTAGGCTTTTGAAGTAGGGGGTGTCAGCTCACCAGACCTTCATCTCACCCCCCATTTTCTTTCAGCCCTGTAGGACGGTGCTCCCACACACTCTAAACATTCTGTTTGTACATTCTGTGTGCTTTTGTGTGGGGCTGCAGTGTCTTCTGGGAGATCCTTGAGCCCAATTTCCTATGAGGCCTCTGAAAACAGGTGACTGTCACACTTCTCTGAACCTGTCTTCATATAGTCTGATGGTTACATACAGTCAGTAAGATCTTTTCAAAATCTACCAATCTGACAGAAAGAAGACTATTTTAATTATGCTAGAAGCAATGAGAAAGACTTACAAAAAACAGTTGTCTGGGAAGTACGCAGGATCATGGGGCATGGGGGTCTCAGTTCTACGGGTCCCTCGTTGCAAAACAAAAACAACAACAACGACAAAAGCAGCGCTGGGGAGGTGCCCATCCTAGTCTAGAGCAATGTGGTATCATCTTGTTGTTCCAAAAACACACATAGAGAATAAAGAGTAACTCAGTGTCCATTTTTTTCCTAACATCTTGACACTTTTGGTTCAAATTGTTTATAGCTCAATCACTCACCAAAATAGCAATCCAACAAATTACAAAATAATATAAATCTCTGGGTCAACAAAAGTCTAATATATAAAATGAGTTCACTTTGATGAAGGCAATATAAATCTTTGGTCAGAAAAGCACACCGGATCTGAAAGAACACAGCTAAGACACCAAAGAACCAAAGTTCCTAGCGGATTACAATCCCTCCGTTTCAATTCTTTAAGTGCCCACCTTCCTCTGCTATGAGAACAGGGTGCCTTGAGGGCAGGAGGAAGTCTTGGGGCCCCTAATTAAGTGTCTGGCAGGAGGAAGCCCTGGCCTCCTGCCACGGGAGCAAAGGGAACTGTAGGAACTGCAGGACCGAGGAAGGGGGCTGCGGGAGCTCGGGCTCTCTCCCAGACTCCGGGTCCCCGTCCAGGTCTCTCAGCTCCTTCACTAACTTACTCATCAGTGGCTTCGGCAAGTCCTTGGGGCATCTGCCTTCATCAACCACCTCTTACAGAGGAAGTCACAGAGCCACAGGGAGGGGAAGGACTTACAAATGGCACCAAGAACCTGGGAAAGTCACCCAGCGAGGACCCTCACTCAGGCATTCAACTGGCACTGGTCTCGGACCTGCGACCTGCGGTGTCGTGTGCCTAGCGCGTGCCAGGCCCCGTTCGAGGTGCTGGGGACACAGGAGGGGAAACAAGACAGAAAAAAGACCCCTGCTCCCGCAGAGCTTGGGCAGAGACAAAAAAAGGACAGTAACTTCAGGTCATGGCAAGGGCTGTAAAGAGGTATAAAGCAGGTATCAGGACAGATGGGAGCTGGCGGGGCGGTGGGGACTCAGAGGAGGCCTTTCTGTGATGGGTCCCCTGATGTGAGACTAGAATGCTGAGAAGCAGCCGGCCGGGCCAAGATCTGGGAGAGACATTCTAGACAGACAGCAGGGCAAGTGCATGTGCGGTGCGCTAAGGGGGCGAGGAGGGGGCAAGTTGGGACAGAGCTGGGCCAGGGAGGCCAGAGTGCAGGAACAGAGGGGAGAGGGGAGAGGGCGGAAGAGGCGGAGAGGCAGGCGAGGGCTGGGGGCTGCCTCACAGACTACCGTTGTCAGGAGTTTCAGTTTCACTGCAGTAGCAAATAGTGTCTAATTACTACGAGCCAGACACTATTCTAAGTGTTTTATCTATAGTAATTCATTTCATTTCCAAAACAACTGGATAGGGTAGAAAATATTATCATCCCCATTCACAGAAGAGGGAACTGAGGCACAGAGAGGTAAGTAAATCGCTTAGGGCGCCCTGCTGGTAGTGCCGGAGCCAGGATTTGGGCCCAGGACTCCCCTGGTCACCAGGTGGTGCACTTTTTGGGGGTGGAGGCAGGGACCCCTGAATCCAGGGCGCTCATTCCGGCAGAGGACAGGCGAGCCAGCATGAGCAGCTGCTCACACGCTTCCATCTGCCTGAAGGGCTTGTCCTCACACACCCATTGTGCAAACCCTGTCTATCCTTCAAGACGGGGGTAACAGGTCAGTCCCAACATGAAGCCTCAGGAACAAGGTGACCAGCTTTGAGGGCGTAGTTCCAACAGAGACTGCAGTTTCCTCAGGCTTGGGGGACCAGGCCTTTCAGGCACAAGGGAGCATGGGGCAGATAGGCCCGCTGCAGCCCCTGGCATCTCTCTATCCCACGTGAGCCCTTCCTAGGACTCTCTCAACCTAGATATGCAAAGCCCCCAGCCCCACAGCAGGCCTTGTCTGGGGCTACTGACCGGTGAAGTTCCCTCCAATGACGTAGGGGATGACTCCTCCGGGCCATATCCTCTCTGTCCTTGAAGTTGTGGCTCTTCGGACCCGGGGAGAGGACTCGGCTGCAGCATTCGAGGTCCCAGGGCTGTGCAGAAGCGTGGCATTCTCCTTGCCATCTGCAAGACAGTCAGTTACCATTTACTTTGCCCTTTGACTCCTCCTGTGAATGATGGTTAACATTGTATTATCCACGATTCTGCAAAAGGAGTATTAAAACACATGTGCTAAAGTGAGTATATGATCTGTTCAGGGTTTGGAACCCCTGGTGGGTAGTTTTCCAGACAGGGGAAGAGTAAGTGTACTGGGTGTACCGGGCCTGTGATGGGAGCGGGTCTGGGTTGTCCGAGACCTTGAAAGAGGCCCCAGGGGGCACAGACTCCAGTGGGCCCAGACAACTCACAGCCCTTTGGGTGGGGCCAAGGCCAGGTGTGTTTTCTGCTCACAGACATGCACGTTTGGGGGAACAAGCTGAGTCAATCCTTTGCCTTCAACCAATTCTGTCAGTGTTGCAAATTTTGAAATAATTTGCCCCGGACGACAAAGAAAGTGGACCAGTCTGTGACCCTGGAAACATAAATTCTTTGTAAGATAAACCTTGGGAAAAGCAGAGCCTCATAAAACCCCCCAGCTCTTCCCAGTTTGTCAGCACATCTGGACCCTGAAGACAGGAATATGGGAAACAAACGGAGGCTTGATTTAAGGCTCTGAGTCCGAGTGTTACAGCCCTGGAAACAGCAGAGGTGGGTGGTGGAACAGAACGCTCAAACCTGCGGCTACCACGTCCCAAATCCGCGTTCATGTTACTCATCAGTCAGACAATTTAAAGTTTTGTCTTCAGTCCACTTGCTTAAAATCCCTCATTATTGTCACCTGGAGCATTTTCTCTTTAGTTTTTTACTTTTCCCCCTAAAAATCAGCTCTTGGTTTTGTCGATTCTTTTATTACATCAATTTTATTTATTTTATTACTTCCTTCTATTTTCATTTCTTTTATTTTAATGTTTCCTCTCTAGCTTCTTCTTTTCAAAAAAAAAATAAAGATACAATTCACATGCCATAATATCCCCCCTTTTAAAGTGTACAATTCAGTGGTTTTATGTTACTAAGTATGAAATGTCCAATTTCCTTAAGTATTAAATTTGACAGTTGATAATTCTAACAGTTCACATTGACATTTCTTGTTCTATTTTTATTACAAAGGTACATCCTCAGCATGTGCTAAGACATCAATTGTCTTAGCACCATTTGCTGAAAAGACTAGTTTTTCCCCCTGGAATTGTCTTGGCACTCTTGCCCAAAATCAATTGGCCATTGTTTCTAGCTTCTTGAGTTGGATGTTTGGCACATTAATTTTATACCTTTCTTATATTCTAATATTAACATATTACAGCTAAAATTTCTCTCTGACTTCCTCTTTCCCTGTATCCCACGCTTTGATATGCACACTTTCAATGTTAGATATTGATATATTCGTAAGTTCCATTTAGACTTTTTCTTTCAACTTTGAATTATTTAGAAGTGTGATTTTTAATTTCTAAACATTTGTCTCTGTGTGTGTGTTATTGAATTCTAACATTGCAAGGTGTTCTAAAAACCTATTCTTCATAGCAGGAGTTAGCAAATCTTTTCTGTAAAAGGCCAGACACTAAATATTTTAAGTTCCGTGGGTCACATATTCTTTGTTGCAACAACTCTGCCACTGCAGTGTGAAAGCAGCCATAGACAATTGTGAATAAGTGGACATGACTGTGTTCCAATAAAACTTTATTTGCAAAAACAGATGGCAGGATGGATTTGGTCTACTGACCGTAGAGGGCTGGCCCTTGCTCCCAAGTATCAATTATTTGGTATTTAGACATTCCTTTGTAACCTAGTACAAGATAGCTTTTTATAAAAGTTACAGGTGTCTTTGAAATAATGTGTACTATCTAATTGATGAATTATATGTGTTGTTCAAATATTCTACTTTACAAATATTTTTGGCTTCTTTGTGTATCGGTCACTGAAAAAAGTGCCTTAATCAACCTTCAGAACTAAAATTGTGAATTGTCATTTTTTTCTTTATCCTTAATTTTTGCTCTAGATTGTTCAAGGTCACATTTGTTAAGTAATACAAGTTTAGGATTGTTAAATGTTCCAGATGAATTGTTTCTTTTATCACTAATGATCTTCTTTCAATAATAATAATGTTTGTCCATACTAATGAATATTTTGTCTGATATTAATAGTGCTATACAATTTTTATTTTCATCCATGTTTACCTCATATAGCTTTCTTCTATCCATTTACTTTCAATCTTTTTGCGTGATTTCTTTAGTGAGTCATTCAACAGGTGTTATTCTCTGAGTTAATTACATTTCCTACAACAAACAATAAAACAAGCTTTGCAATGATCATAATACTGAAGTTCACTATTATTTTTTACTACATATGAAATAGCATTTTCCAAATTGAAATTTTTATTGAGATAACTGCAGATTCACATCCAGTTGTAACAACACAGAGAGATTTCATATACCTTTACTCGGTTTCTTCCAATGATAACATTTTGTGAAACTACAGTACAATATCACAACTAGGATATGGACATTGATACAATTCACTGATTTTATTCAGATACCCCAGCACTACTTGTATTCACTTGTGTGTGTGTGTGTATGTGTGTGAGACAGAGATTTCATACAATTTTATCACACTTATAGGTTTGTGTATTCACTACCACATTCGTGATACTGAACAATCCCACCACCATAAAGGTCCCTCATGTTGCTATTTTATAGCCACATCCACCTCGCTTCCACATTCCCTCCATTTGCATTAAACCTATAGATCAATTGGGAGAGAACTGGCACCTTTACTGAGTCTTCCAATCCATGGACGCAGTATGTCTCTCCATTTATTTAAGTCTTTGGTTTCTTTCATCAGCATTGTTTAATTTTCATCATATAAATCCCGTACGTATTTTGTTACATATATATATAAGTATTTCATTTTCTTTAGTGTGATTGTATTATGAATGGTATTATGCTTTTAATTTTGGTTTCCGTATGTTCATTAGAATATAGAAATGTGAACAATTTTTGTGTGTTGGTCTTGTATTTTGCCATTTTGTGGAATTCATTTATTGGTTCTAGAAATTTTTTGAATTTTTTTTTCCTTGTAGATTCCTTAGGATCTTCTATAGTAGACAAACATGTCATTTGCAAATAGGGACAATTTTATTTCTTTTTTTTTTCAATTTTATTTCTTCCTCTCCGATTTGTATGCATCTTATTTGTTTTTCTTGCTTCATCACAGTGTCTGGAAATTCCAGAACTATGCTGAATAAGAATATGAGAGCAAACATCCTTTCCTTGTTCTAGATTTTAGGGGGTAAGTATTCAGTCTTTCACTATTAAGTATGGTATAAACTGTAGGGTTTTTGGTAGATATTCTGTATCAAATTAAGATAATTTCCCTCTATTCATAACTTGCTGAGTTTTTATTGTGAATAGGTGTTAGATTTTGTTAAATGCTTTTTCTGCATCAATTTATGTGATCATAGGATTTTTCTGTTTTAATTTGTTGATATGTGGGTTATATAGATTGATTTGCAAATGCTGAACCAGCCTTACATACCTGAAATAAATCCCCGCTGGGTTATGGTGTATAATTCTTTTTTATACATTGTTGGATTTGATTTGCTAATATTTTGTTGAGGATTTCTGCAGGTAAGTTTAATTAGGTTTTAGGTATGTCTCTTATAAACAGCAAATAGCTGAGATGTTTTTCTTTATGATCAACCTGAGAATCTCTCCTCTAACAGGTGAATTACATTTATTTTATAACTGATATACCTGGACTTATTTCTCTCCTTTTATTTTGTGTTTTCTTTTTGCCTTTTTTACCTTCTTCTTTTTTTGCTCCTTTTCTGCTTTCTATTAGATTAAAAAATTTTTCTATATTTACTTTTTATTTCCATTATTTCCTTTCTATTCTTTAGTATTGTCTTTAATTTTTAACACTCATACTTGACAAAATATAAAGAATTAGTGAGGCCATGTGCGGTGGCTCACACCTATGATCCTAGCACTTCGGGAGACCGAGATAGGAGGATCGCTTAAGGCCAGGAGTTGGAGACCCCCCTGAGCAAGAGTGAGAACTTGTCTATACAAAAAATAGAAAAAAAAAATTAGCCAGACATGGTGGCAAGTGCCTGTAGTCCCAGCTACTCTTTAGGCTGAGGCGGGAGGATGCTTGATAGCAGGAGTTTGAGGTTGCAGTAGGATGAGGCCACTGCACTCCAGCCTGGGTGACAAGCAAGATCCTGTCTCACAAAAAAGGAGTGAGCTAGAAGACAGAGTGGAAGAAACCTGAATCCTCAGTCTCATTCTGAGAAACAAGGCTTTTAAAATACTTTAATTCGCATATATAAAAAAGGCCCTCCAATTTTTCATGTTATTGTTTACTTGCTTTCAAACTCCCAAATTAATCACTATTATCTATGATTCATTTGTTTGCAATATGGATTTATATTTCCTTCATATTCACCCATTTCTTTCCTCACTGCTGTTTCTTACATCATCCCACTTCTCTTCCCTGGAAATGCATCTTTTAATATTCCTTTAGGATAATAATAAACTCTCTCTGTATTTATTTATAAATATCTTTTATCCTCACTCTTGGAACAAAGTTTGGCTGGGAATGTTTGGAATTCTAAGTGGATGGATATTTTTTCTTTAGAATATTCCAGTGCCTTGTGGTCTTCATTGTTGCGAGTGGGAGGTATCCTTTTAGTGTAATGGTCATTCCTTTACCTGTTATCTGTTTCATCTTTTGTTCTGTTTTCCTTCTTTTGTTGTCTTTGATGTTCCTCATCATCAATTATAATTGTCTAGATGTGCATTTGTTTTAATTCTCTGTTTGGGACTCAGTATGATTCTTGAAATTTCACATCTGCTTTCAATTTTGGAAAATTCTAATTTATGACCTGTTTGAATATTTCTTCCTTCCCAGTCTCTCTGTGGAAATTCTTCCATTTCCTAGAATTCCTACTGATTACACAGTGAACACTGTCATTGTAGCCTCCATGCCTCTTCTTTTTTTCACATTTTATGCCTCTGTCTCTCAGAGCTGAA